TGTCCTATCTTCCCCAGGGTGAGAAGGAGGATGTGGAAGGACTGATCAAGCTGCACCCTATGCTTTTTGGCGATGTGCCCTCTAGGACCTCAGTACTGGAGCATGACATTGATGTGGGTAATACCCCACCCATTAAACAACATGCGTACCGTTGTCCCCCAGTCAAGAGGGAAATGATGAAGAAAGAGGTTCAGTACTTACTGGAAAATGGGTTGGCTGTACAGAGTCATAGCTCCTGGAGCTCTCCATGTCTTCTGACACCAAAGTCAGATGGTTCTCAACGTTTCTGTACAGACTTTCGAAGAGTAAATGCAGTTACAGTCCCAGATTCACATCCATTGCCGTATGGAAGACTGCATAGACAGTATTGGTGCAGCCATCTATATAACAAAATTAGATCTGCTGAAAGGGTACTGGCAAGTTCCTCTGACTGCCAGAGCTTCTGACATTTCAGCTTTCGTCACACCAGACCATTTTTTGCAATATACCGTGATGGCATTTGGAATGCGAAATGCACCAGCTACCTTTCAGCGACTGATGAACGTTGTATTGGGAGACATTAAGAACTGTAATGTCTACTTGGACGACATTGTAATCTATTCATCAACCTGGACTGATCACATTAACACTCTGAAAACTGTGTTTGCTCGTCTAGCTCAAGCCTCCCTCACCTTAAATCTGGCAAAGTGTGAGTTTGCCAAAGCGGTGGTGACGTACCTTGGAAAGGAAGTGGGCCATGGCCAGGTACGTCCGGTGAATGCAAAGGTGGAGGCTATCCTAAACTACCCTGTGCCTACCACAAGACGTGAGAGCTACGCCGTTTCTTAGGATTGGTTGGCTATTATAGGTGTTTCTGCAGGAACTTCTCAGTGGTGGTGGCTCCTCTGACAAATTTGTGTAGTCCAAAGATGCCATTCAAATGGACTACTGCATGTCAACATGCATTTGACTGTGCAAAGTCCTTTCTATGCAGTGCTCCTGTATTGGCAGCTCCAGATTTCAGCAAGACCTTCAAGCTGGAGGTAGATGCAAGTGCCACTGGGGCTGGGGCAGTGTTGCTCCAAGACGGGACAGATGACATCAGTCACCCAGTTTCCTACTACTCAGCTAAGTTCAAGCCTCATCAATTAAACTATTCCACAATTGAGAAGGAAACATTAGCCATGCTATTGGCTTTGCAGCATTTTGAAGTTTATGTGGGTTCAACAAGTCCTGTGATAGTCTATACGGACCATAATCCACTGGTTTTCCTGAACCGCATGTATAACCACAACCAGCGGTTAATGCGTTGGGCTTTATTGGCCCAAGAATACAACCTAGACATTAGGCATAAGAAGGGGGTGGACAATGTGATAGCTGATGTACTATCCAGGATATAATGTTGTTTATCTCACTGTGGTATTGTCAGTTGAAGAAATGTTTTATGTAGGATTTTATGGGGAGGGTGTTACGGTCACTGACCTCTAGGGGCTCTCTTCATGAGAGAGTCCTCTCTCTCTGTGTTTCAGATGCACAGGTGAAATGTGTTGGAGCTCATCAGCCACTCCATAAAGAGCTTCATACAACCAGTGTTGGATCCCTTCTTGTTTGGGCCTTGACCTGATCTGACACTTTACTGGTGACTGAGTGATTTTGGCTGTGAGCCTTTGAAGTGTGTCAACCAAAACCTGTTGTTTTGTTTTTTTTTCACAGTGGAAGCTGGTAGGGGTTCTCTGCCATTTGTGTTCAACCATTTTTTCTCCTGTTTTGATGGCTAGCCAGGAGTTCAGGTTTTGTACTTTCTTTTTCCTATTACCATTAGAAAGTTCTTTTTAATTTCTTAGCTAGACAGGGGGGGGGGGGGTGTTTTGTTTGTTATTTTGGCCTTGGAGACCCTGAAGATAAATACTTCCCTGTGTTCTGTTCTTTGTTTTAGTTGACTTACCTGCACTGTAAATAAATTATCCACATTTTGCTACAGACAACAGTTTGTTTTTTTTGTGTTACAACCAGCGCCAGATTTTACCCTTATTGGTCTTGGGGGGGGTTGTAACAGTTGGGTCCAGCAATGGAATTCCAATGGCAACTTAACCATTCACAGAATTTGTCTTGTGAGGTTTGCATTCTACACTGTAACGTTACTCACAAAATTACATGGAGCTAAATGTGGCTTAGTAGAAGCAATGTAAAGAATAGTCGTCTTGCAATCCAGTTGTGAGCTTGATGCCTAGATGCTCCTGTAACATGTTGATATTCCTCTGGCCAGCCTCTTAATCTGAAATTAATTACTGGACTGTGTATAAAGTTATAAGTATAATGGCTGAATGCGGTTCTAGTGTGAAACAATCTTTACGACTGGAAAGAATTCACTCCATTCACCAATGTGATTTTTAACAGTGTAGTTTGGGACTTTTAAAGTAAAATTATGTTAAAATGTTGTAAGTGATTATTATCTTACTATCAGCAGAAAACTTTTCTGTCCTCATTTAGTTTCCTATGATCACATTTTCATTGAGTCCTTAACAAATTAAATAACATAGAAGCCAGTGATATTCAATAAATAAAGGAGTTTAAACATATAAACTTAATAAAACACATGCTGACAGTAGAATATGTAAAGCATTCATAGAAACTTCCTGTTAAGCATGTAAGAAAACAACAAAATTAAATACCTTGATCATACAGACTTTGCTTAGTTATTACTTATTTATGATGTCTGAGTTTTACTTGTAGACTCAATTTTTTCTTCAGTGTTCACTCCAGAAATAATGTGAACAACCCCAACTGACTCAAAGTATTGCAACTCTTTTGTGTAACCTTGACAATAATAAATTCACAACCAAAACCAAGCTAAGCGCAGACTGAAAGCTAACCCCAAAGACTCACTTAGTTATTTATTTAAGTTTATTTGATAGGGTCAGACACACATCGACACAGACAAACTGAACAGAAAAGCAGTCCCATGTTTGTGTCATAGTTCTTATAGCAACAGCTAATTTGCCTCTAGATAGGCTTTTAAACAGTACATCTTAAAACCAGTAAATACTGAACTAGTAGTCATTTAAAATAGCACAACATAATGTTGACAACATCTACACAATCATACATATAAAACAGTAAGACTTAAAAGTGAGACATAGAAGTGTAAAGACTTTGGGGTCTTTACACTTCCCAACAGGAATGCTGATTATGTTTATTTTACTATTAACATTGGCATTGTTTCAGTTTTTCCAGTGTGCGATTGTAAGATATTATGTGCTGATATGCAAAGCATCATTAAACAGGTTGTGCTTCAGAGTGTGGTTGTCTTTTTTGTTATTAACAAGTTAACAGCGTCTTGTTATTCCAGAGGAACATGTGCCAGAGGGAAAACCGCACTGCTTGGGGTGGGAGAGTATGAGAAGAGCAGGGCCTATGATAGACTGCTGACTCCAATTCACGTACATTTTTACTGCAACGGATATAGGCTCAATTAAGTTTATGACGTCTTCTTTTATCCTGAAGGTGCATAATCTGATTCTTTGTAGGGTAGTAAAGAAGATCTGGTGATGATTGAGCTGCATGATATATGGCATTCAGCATTGCGCAAGTTCAGGAACAAATATGACATATTTGTTCCTTGTGATGCACATAAGCTGATAAAATGGTGTGGAAGCAAATGCACGATGGCAACATGAACGTGTTTCAGCAAGTAAATTCGAGTATATTTGTAGGCTCAGCCTTTCTCCAGGTTTGTGTTTCTCTTGTTACGTCAGTCCCATTAGCGATGGTCTATATTTAGCAGGAGTTCTTAGCCAAACAGCGTGGGAGAGAGTTCTGAGAGATGTGAGCCTGGAAAGAGGTCAACATGGTGACAAAGATGAGCTGTGAGCAGTAAAAGAAGAGCCAAATGATCAACAAGTGATCAACAAAACAGAAATCTGAGCCAAATAATAATAATAATAATATTCTGTTCTGTTCTATTCTTTTCTATGCTGTTCTATTCAAGTTATATTTCTAATGTTTTAATAATCAATAAATCCTATGAGCTCTAACCAGATAACAATTACCTCATTTAGAAACTAATAATTATGTCTCAAAATTTCCCAATTACCACTATTTGTCAGAAATACAAAATCAGTATTCTGTGATGTTTTCTTCATTAAAACTATAGTGCATATAAGGAAATAAATAACACGGTCAAACTTGTGTCCAGGCCCGCCCAAACATGCAGGTATCATATTGCAGTGTGCCACAGAAACATCCGAGTTCAAATTTAGCCTGGAACCTTTGTTGTGTGTCATTTCACCTCTCTTATTTGCTGCTGGCATTTGTAGCATACTGCAGAGAGAATTTGGTTGTTTACAACAAATGGGTCACAAGGTTGTTAAAAATACAATTCAACTTTCCATCTTTTGACAGGTTTTTAAGATACGTTAAAGACCCACTTATTATTCAATTTGTTTAATTCTTTTTTAAGTTTTGTTTAACTGGTTTTATCAGTGTTCTCATTGGTTTTATCTGCTTTTAATCTGTACTATTTTCTTGGCTATTGTTTTATGTTATCTGTCCATCACTATGTTTGGAAGCTCTTTATAAATAAAGTTAATATAATAATTATTAACCCACAACTCTCCAGAACTCTCACCAAAACTGTGATAATCTTCAAATACCTTTTAATTTCTTATTTGCATCCAAACAATTCAATTGCAGCTACAATCAAACACTTTAAGAGCTTATATTGCATGTATAACCTATATATACAAGTCTACATCAATCATGAAAATCTACAAAATAATTTGACAACAAATATTCTGCTGAAGTCAATTAAATAGTCCTTTGTTACATAAAATGCACAAGCGACAGATGCCCAAAACAAGACATCAACAGCACAGCATGCAGCTGTCTCCTCAGTCATTTATATTATGAGGTGTAAAGTAGGATTGGTCATAAAAGCAGGAACAGAGGAGGCAGTTACTGTAAGAGGAGAACGTGTGGCGAGTGCAAAATAGGAGAGAAATGGAACTTGAGAGAGGACAATATTAATTATTCATGTCATGTTTAATAATAAAATGAACTCATTCTTACTCATTTGATTCAGATCAAAAAAGGTGCCAGGTATTGAGAATTATGAGTGCTAATGTAAATCATCAGAAAACAAAAAAATCTTAATAAAAACTACCTGGTAAAATCTCACAACTTCCACATTTTCACCATCTAACAATGTTTTCTATTGTATTTATCAACCTCTTCATTTGCAAACGGATGTACGTGTTCTTATGTTTAACATATAATGCATAGTTTAACTAATAGAAAGCTATCAACCATCACTATAATAGTACAAATTGTTAAACCCTGGTTTATGAAAATCAATCTGGGATAATGCAAACAGGTAAGCAGTTGCAAACAAAGAAAATATCAAAAGGTGGAACAACAGCAGGACACAGTACAGTAAGTCAAATAGAAACCAAATATCCTAACAACTAAATAGAACACAGTGAGGTGTATATTCTTTGGTTTTGATACCAGGGCTATGTATGGGTTTGGTACAACAGCCAGAAACACACACATTTTGGATTCTTCTTTTCTGTTTTGGTTATATCTTGAAAATGATAAAATAAGAAAATATAGGTTTAAATGATTTTTATTAAGGCCTCATGCAAATTACAAAAACATCCTCAACCTGGTGTGTAGTATTTAATAGTATTCATTGTACAACATTATTGAGAACCGACAGTGATATTACTTTGGAGGTATCTTCATGGACTCTGTGTCTGTTTTGGTTAATCACATAAAGCAATAAAAGAACAAATTTGGATCCTGCTTTGAATGGGAAGGAGGGCTAACATTTCACTAATATGTTCTTTACTTTGATTATATTCACTGCACTGTGACAACAGGACTCTATGACAAAAAAAATCTAAAGACTGCAAACTAGACAGGTATTCCTGGCATACAAATGTGAGCAATGTAATAATATTCAGCATAAGGGTGTTATAAATGCCAAAACATTAAAATCTTTTTTTTAAAGCACTGTCTAAATGAAATATTTATCATAGTACAAGATATTGATGTTGTGCTAAATTCTTTGTGTTTAGTAGAAATTAATTGATTTGTTTTGACAGGCAGGCACTGTAATTCTTAAATGTACAACAGCTTTTTTAAGTAAGACATGTAAGAAGAGTATCACCATTATGGAGAACAATGTTGAAGTCACCTGTCGGTAGTTTTATAGTTATTGATGATCTTTGCGCTTCTAATCATCAACCAAATATCAAATATACAAAAACACAGCAAAAGTTAGGAAGTGCAAACAAAACTTTTTTTTCTCACATCATCTGAAAAAAAATAAATGTTTTTAACTGAGGTTCACAGTTTGGAGGTCAATGAACTGTTTGTTTCATAAGGCAAGCTTTTGTTCATTTTCATGTTGTTATTTATCAGGATTTCTCAAGTGAGAAGACCAGAAACAAGAAGAAAAACAGAAAATTTAAAATGAATGCACTCAAATCAACATAGCTGGCAAAGCCAAATATTTTCATCGAACACATTTTCAATATTGGTACATTTAGGAGAAAAAACATTGTAGTTGAATGCATCTTATGTAAAACTTTGAGGAATTTAACAACTTCAAAACCAGTGACTGGAATTACTTTGCATTTAGGTTTGCCTTATTAGGTTTTTTTATTAAAATATATAGTCAGAAACATGAAGTCTAAGAAATTGTAAAATTTCCAGATGTCCTTTATTGGTAAGCATAAAAATGCAACAGTGCATTTCCTCCAAACGTTGTAGGTTTATAAGACAATATTCACATGTTTCCCACACAAATCTAGCCAGAAAGGTCACTATATTCATATTCTGTATTGCAAATTAATATGCTATTCATCCAAATAGCAAATTATCTGCTTTACTGACAGAATCTTATTCCAAATGATGTAGTGATGCATCTAAATTTAATAATGAGGAATACAACAATATTTCTCATCATTGCAACTCTGAAGTTATTTTAGAGATAAAATTCAAACTGGCAAGATGTATATTTCCTTTCCAATAACTTTACAATTGAACAGTCATCTTGAGAACTCAACCTGGTGCAAAACTATTTATATTCTTACTTAAAGTTAGTTATTTAATTGTTTTGTCAACATGTTTGCTACTCATTAAGACCATATTGTGAGGCTACCACATCAACTTGCTATACAAATGTTAGTATAGAAGCAATACAGTAAGCACTCTACACAGTGAATGGTGTGTAGGGTCTAATTTAGTGATTTGTGCAGAAATTAATTGTCAGCTGCCCTTTAAATGTTTGTTTTGTTGTATTATCCCAGGGATCATGTTTCATGCGCAGGCATGGCTGGGCTAATTTGTTTGACTGGAGCCATTGTGTCATTGTTGACAGCTGTCGCAATGATGCGGCAGTGTTGCATGTCATTCCAGTCTATTCTGATTCTCAACACAAATTATTTTCCAATGTTTTTTTGTTCCCAACGTATGTGGCAACCTTCCTGCAACCATAGATAATAAAAACAAAATGCAAGCAAGTAGTTGTACGTTGTTTGTATTCGTCAGACTTAGCAATACTCTGTTCTGTATTTAGAGGACCTCTGTGATGTCTCAAAATAATGTACACAGAATTTGGGATTTGTCTTTTAGGAGCGATTGTAAAGGTATTAAACATCTATCAAGCAACAAAATATGATCATTATAGTTTGTAAACAATATTTAAAATGAATTTGATTGACCTACAAACCTCACTAGTAAGTCAACTCATGAAACAGAGTTTACACAAATTAGTTTTTATGAGTAAGAATGTTTGAATTAGCAGGTCAGACCTCAAAGGAAATTGAATATCAGTATCAGCTTGTAGGTGTTTGATGCATCCACTAAATATTTGTGAGCTTAACACAAAAACCCATAAATTCATCTTTTAAAATGAAAATAGTCCTTGCTTTTTTTCCTAAATATTAAATATCTAAAAAATTTCTACTGTTTCAATTCTGTAGTAAACAGAGAAAGTGATCTTTTTGATTGGATGTGTGAGGGAAACATCCTCACCTTTCCACTCCTCCTTCCTTTCAGCAGGTAAAGTGCAGAAATCCTCACCTAAAAGCCACTAACTGCTGCCTTCCTTGTGAGGGAGACACCTCTGCCACGGGCTACAGGGCAGCGCCAGCAGCAGGAAGAGGATTCCTCCCACAATGAGAACAGCGCCTGCACAGCCGATACACGACACGGACCAGGAGAGCTCATGGTGGAGAGGAACCGTGTGGTCACTGGCCAAGAAAGATAGGACAGACTGGTGGAAAACCAAGAGAGACATGAGCACCAGAACACCTGTAGGAGGCAAAGAACAAGAGATGAGGAAAAAACTGTTTTCTAAAAAATAACATTTAGTTTAATAAGCCATATAAACCCGACCTGTCCGTGGCTACCCTTACTGACCTGACAGGATAAAACATATGGATGCTGGCTTCAGAAAGAAGATAATCTCTTTACTGAGTGCCATGGTGATGCAGATGGCCCCCATCACCATCAGGAAAAGGCTGAAAAGGGCCAGCATTGCTGCAGCAACATTCAAATCTGATCACAGGAAGAGGAATTCATCATTAAAGCGTAACAAATCATCTATCCCTACTATATTTATCAAAATTACTACATGGAGGCCAACAGAACGAGAGTGATGAGCCACCAATGTGATTTATATGAACGTCTGTCTTTCTTTATTCACTCTATGGCACTGTGTAATCTTAATACATTATGAAACTGCCAGAGAAAATGAGAGGTTAGACAGCAGCGCAGAGACACTCAAACAGTGTGGGTGGAATACATATTAAGCACTCAGTGCAGACAATGGCCAACCTGAAGGAGTGAGGCGAAGAGGTGAAGGAAGGCACATAGAAAACAGAGTGACAAAGAGGGGAACAGAGATGATGGAAAAAAGACAATAGCAGCAAAGGAGGGGGGCCAAACCTAAACGACGCAGGTATTTAGAAGTAAATGTGGACAAAAACTATGGAAAAAAAGGATGTGGATACATGAGATGGGAGATTATGTGACTCACTTTTGTGTGTTGTCTTCTGAAACATGACAGTATTTTCCCCCGTGGTGAAAAATTTGAAGTAGGTGCAGTTGGATTCTGCAGCAGAAAAAGAAAGAGCAGCTCACTGTAACTGACATGAACACAAACTCTGCCAGGTAACATCCATCGGCAGCAAGCAATCTTGATCAACATCTTATTGAAATTCAAGGAGCCACATCTCACATCTTCTCTCACATCCCACCCCTGTGCAATTGGATTTTAATTGTTCTCCATCAACCATAATCAGCTATGAGCGTCAATGACAAGCTCAAGGTGACAACCTAAAGCTTCCTGTACAATTTGTATTCTGCTGTTCAGATGATGTGTTACAGCAATTAGTGTTTTGCAGTCAAATTGATTCTGACACCTCTATCTGTTCTCTTGCACATTTGCAAACACGACGGAGCAAACACACACACGTCACTCTCAATTAGTCTGATGAAAGCCTCGTCCTCAAAGGGTTCTGCTGTGTGTTTTTCATATCACATCAGCCATCAGAGTTCCAGTGTCTGCTCCACTGTTAGGAAAATTTAAATCCCGACATCAAATATGATGAAGCTACAACTTGCACTAAAGATGATAATGACATCTTTTACCTATGGTCAAAGTTATTATGCTTTTGGATCAATAATGATTTAAAAATCTGTTTCCTACCTAAATGTGACAATTGTACATATGATTCTTTAAAAAGTAGAAAAAAGATACTTTTTATTAAAATGTAATATTGTAATAATGATCTATATATCATATTTTATTACCTGGAGGTGGAAAAGTGGCCCTGATTTGAAAACCCTGTCCATGTGTAAATATTCTATATAATGTGTTCCACTGAAATTAATTACCTTTTGAATGATATTCAATGGGTCTGATGTTTCCAATAAATGTATTTGTTTAGTGTTTAGTGCATCCCTAATGATCTTGTAGGTGAAAAGTAAAACCCAGAAACATATAAAACAGAAAACTTTAAAGTGATTTGGGTCAGAGTAACTACCTCATGAAAAAGTAAGATAATGTAAGTAGCTGTGAAACAGTAAAGTACAGTTAATATTGATTTATATTGGAGAAATTTAAAAAATGACAATTCCGTGTGATTTTCACAAATATTATATAAAAGCCTTGAAGAAAAAAAGAGAAATATAGAAACTTCACAGAACTCAGTATGTCCATTTTATCAGGGTAAATGAAATCATGAATTTACAAAATGTTCTATTTTCTGACTTGGAATATTGCTTTTGTCTGATGTTGCCAACAAATGTATGTTCTTCCCTCAGACATCATTTTTATGGGACAATAGAGATAAGTTCTGAATTGTTGACTGTAAAGAAAACCTAGTCAGAAGCTCAAGTATTGTTATACCTGTTATGAAAAAAGAGAGGATAATTTCAACCTGACATGGTTACAGTGACTCATGCAGTAAGTCAGCCAAACTATTCAGACAAATTGCTGTCACACTATGAGCCAGACGTGATTTGTCTAGGCCAGAAAGTCAGGTGAACCTCTCAGACAAGCTTACTCACTCCCTCAAACTGAGCTGTCCATTGGGCTTCACAGTCAGCCAGTTGGCCTGTCAGTCATCTGCCTGAACCTCACTTCCTCAAACAGAACATGTAGCCATCAAAACTATCCCCATGAACCCATCCCACATAGTCAGATATCTTTAAGTCACCTCCAGGCAGCTCCGCAGGTCCACAGCTCTCACGTTCTGGGTCGATATCTGACACCCACAGGGTCTTGGTGCAGCCCTTCCAGAGGCCATAGTGAGCCGTCAGGCATGTCTGTAAAAATAAAAACCAGACAACACAAGACATAAAGGAGGGTTCAGTCTCTGTTTTGAAAAATATCAGGTTTCAGTTGTTTTTTGTTTTTTTTCTTCTTCTTCCTTATCCTGACTTCTTGTTACATGCTTTATATTTTTAAATCAAATGTCATGGTAGTGCTGCTTCATGTTTTACCTGATTGTTATAAAAATTCTTTGGGGGCGCCAGTTCCACCCAGAACTCTGTCCCGACTCCAAGGACCGTCAGGACGACACCAACTATGGCCACAAAAAATGCCAGCTTGATCTTATGAGAAAAACACAATAAATCAGAATTTATGTATTAATAAATTACTTTCTCTTTTTTTTTTACGTCTCTTGTAGACATATTTCAAGCGTTATGTCAGTTACAACATATTCATGAGGTGGTGCACTTAAAATGGCCACCACATTATTTTGGTTGTTGTATAATTTTGACTTTAGTTTTCTTCACATGCAATCTGGATGCTAAAGGCATCACTTCAATCATTACTGACCTCTATTTTAATATCCTTTATGTCATTACATGGTGAAAAGATGCCAAAAAACTATTCGTATTGTGTTATGATTTTTGTTCGAATTTCCAACCATGTTTAGCTACTTGCTTTGCATTACTTTGAGCCTTGCACTATCTTCAAATTGATTGATTCTGGGTATTTAATAATGCTTGACAAATACAATTTTGGTGTATGTATTTATATACTCAGTTAGGACTGTATATAGCCTTCAGTTGTTGAATAAAGCTTGTGTATTCTCTTTCACTCCAGAAAAAAAATGACAAAAAAACAATGCTGTTTCTATCACTTTTACACTGAAAATAAAATTAGAAAAGGCCTCATGTTCATCACTCCTACACATATCACAACACTGCATCAGGTTGGTGCTTCCTGTACCCAAATCATAGCTCCCTTTCTAGGGCCTGAAGGGTTCAGCTCCCTGAAAATCATTGATGTTCCTGATTGTGATTCACAGTATGCAAATTGAATAACTAAAATGACCACACTGCCTTTTTTGAATGCAAAAATTTGATTGAAAACCTACTAGGGTTGGTCAGCTGGACAAAACAAATCTGACTTTCTGTGTCAGTCTGAATTTGATGATAGCCTTAATTCTCATTTCTTTAAGCCTCATGGCAATCTTGATAGGAGCTGCAATTAATTTAAGTGCAGAGCATAATCGCTTTCAAATTATTTTTTTGTTTTGCCTGACATGCTTGAATCCATGATTAATTGTCTACACAAAACAGAAAACAACAGCTTCATTTGACAAAAATTAAAATAAATTTACTAACAGGTTCAAGAAATATAATTTTGCAAACATAGCACCCATATTATTGTTTTTCTGCTGTAAATAATTTAGTTTTTAGGCCTGGTTACTTTGGTCATCCACTTGTTAACTTATTCAATATATATATTTCAGGTTTTGCTATGGCCAAGAAAAAACCTTGGGTGAAGTTGTGGACATAACCAGACAAAGTCAAAGTAAAATCTTTGAAATATCTTCATAAAGTGTACAGTGATGTTACAGTGTTTATCCACAAAGCCAATGGTTAACAAGTTGGGGAAAAATTATTCAAACTTATTACTGAGACACTGCAAAGAATCAACCAATTACACACAACTGCAATGATAGTGCTTGCAGTACCATATAAGGCCACTGACCGACATGTACCAATACTGTATATATTGGTTTTGGTACATGCCGGTCAGTGGCCTTATATGGTACTACAAGCACTATCATTGCAGTATAAAGCTAGAGTTTTAAACAACATTACTGTTTTAATTTGTTATTGTTTCAATTTAAGAAAATTTCAAACTACTGGAAAAATACATGGACACTATTCAAAGGCTCTCACCTTTCCCTCCTGGGCTTCACTCATGGCATGTCCAGCTGACGTTGTTCTGCGTCTCTTGTTCCCACCAAAGGTGCTGCGTCCACCCATTAAACTGGCCAGGCCTCCTGTGCCTTGTGCTGGTCCTCCTGGTGCAGCCATTCCACCTGCTCCTGCTGTTCCCGGGACCACGGTGCGGCCCTCCTCGTCAGTCAGAAAAAATGTTGACCACATCTTGCTTAAAACAGAGTGCAGCCCCAGCTATAAATCTCAGTCCGTTGGGTGGTTTGTAGTTTTTGAGGGATAAAAATAGAAATGGATTGTTTACTCTCAATTTGTGATTGTCCAGGAAATGGAAAAAATGGGGGTAAGAATCCCTCTCTACAAGTGTATCACACACTTGTAATTGAGTTTTAGAATACAAAAGGTTCAGAAAAGATGAGGTTGACGTTGTTAGGTATTTTCCTCGAACCTATAATAAAATAACCACAGACAACGTATATGAATTAAATATGGTCAGGCTTCTGCAGAAGGAGAAATCCCGATCAAAAGCTCCTCCGGGCTGGTCAAAAGAGAGTTCTGATCTGCTTTCACGTGAGCTCCCTCTTTATTGTCAAAGCATCAAACAACAGAGGTCATAAAACATTTAACACAAACAGACCAACAACTCAGTTCCAGGTGTGATATCTAATTTACAATCTGAGCCCAGTTCAGCTCTGGGTCAAACTGTCACCTAAGACTGGGTAGATAAACACCAGAGAAAACTTTAGGGTCTGAGAACCATAAAGTTTTACTATCTCGCATGAAGACAGTCGTAACCTCCAGGTCAGCCCATACACACATAAGGAAGAGGACACTTTAACAAAATGATAATATCAAAAAATCTCTAACAGACGTATTTCAAGATAAAAAAAAATAAAATGCAAAAGCAGCCTACAAAGGAGTTTTTAGGAGTGTTTCTGGTACTTGAATACCGGTGGAGTGCAGAAGGCAGAAAAGCTACTGGAAATGGGATTGGAAAAAGAGCGAGGAAAAAAGTCAAAATAGAGTCAAAAGTGATGGTAAAACAGAATTAGAAATATCAATATTAACAATGTTAGCTCATTCTTACCTCACTGCCCCCTCCCTCAAGACAAACATGACATAATGACATTAAATTACTGTGATTACATTCAATGTTAACAAGTAAGTTAAAGTGAATGTTGGGCTTCTAAACTATACATCACAATGAGACTGACATAAAAAGAAAACCGCTTGTAAATGTGCGAAGTATTTGCAATACAATGTTAAAAAATATTTCAAATGCATTAAGTTGAAGTTAAAAATAATTTTATGGGTGTGTAGTTTGTATTATACACATTTTATTGTAATTTTGGTTGTAAATACCTATATATATTCTGAGGCCATTTAAAAACAGAATCATTGTCAAGTCAAAGGCTTTTACATTGTTTTTCTGAGACTTTAACTGCTACACGAATACGCTGAATCTTGAACAATTTTTGCTGGTTCTGTAAATGAAGCAGCTGCTCTGCTGCATTCCAAAAGGATGCAGTGACAACAGACTTGACAGGCAATCTTTTTTGTTGTTTGGTAGAACAAAACACATCCCCCAGGGAGACCACAATCCTTTACCGACACGGGAGCATCTGTCTTGTTAACAAGATGAAGAGTTGTACAGAACAAGTTTTCAGAGGTGCTCTGAAAGGTCCATGTAAGTGTGACAATACCAAAAACAACACATTATTTTAACTGCACATTTTTCACAATGTGTAAGATTCCTGAAGAATTTGACAAACAATCCAGTCTGCTATTCTTATCAGGTGTGTCATGTACCTTGCAAAAATAACCATCACAAAAATAATAATCGCACTGCTTGTGTCAATTTTGTTTTCACATCACAACCTAATTTTTCAGGGTGTTTTATTTAGTTTATGTGAAAGATCAAGTCAGTAGCGAAGGATCGTACAATTAAACTAAAACTATTATATGGTAAAAGCTATGGGAGTTTTTTTCTTGGCTCTGTGTTTGATAAATGCTACCTTACCCAGACCTAAATTCACAGTTGTGCCACTTCTCATTTTTGATTTGAACATAGTTCTGTCAAATGAGATTGAAACTATCCCTGTATTAATTTGTCTTCATGGTGTTTGTTCACAGAAAAAAAAAAAACTCAAAGAGCAACTTTATTTATATTGAGACTAAGTGACACTGTGATTCCCAAATAGGTTATTTGGGAATCAAAACAAAAATTACAGCTAAGACATTAATATATTTCCTTGCACCAGGACAAGATATGAAAAGTTGAAGAGGCTTGAAAAGTTTTACACAATACTGTATCTGTCTTGTTTACAACAGTATTGTTTCACTTTTGTTTACAGCTTCTCACTATCTAGCATCACACCAATATTAGCAAAGTGAAACATGAGACAGGCTTCATTACACTACGGTATAATAATATAACAAAGCAAAAACTATTTTCATACCACTGCCAAGAATCGAAGTCTTGCTCCTGGTTACTTCAAGGTGAAGTGTTGCCAGGCACAATAGTTAATATGTAAGGAAGAATATCTAGAAAGGAGTTCCATCAAACCACTAAACTGCAACCAAAACAAAACAAAAAAAAATTCTTTTTTTTTGTTTTTACCTCAACTATACTTCAGAAATGGAGTCTGAGGACAAGCATAAGAGCAAATTATGCTACCAAGATAGAAAAGTATTTAAAACTTTGCAATAAATCAATCTATGTCATTCTTTAATACATTTTCTTGGGTATTTGAGTTCAAATCAACCTGGTAATTGTTCCTAAATGTAAAACAAAATGAGTGGTTCTATTTTCGCAATAGTTATTTACCATTGCATACTTTCTTAACTAGCACTAAAAATGCACCCAGCATTCCTTTGTCATAATCACAGTGTTAAATACGCATCCCCTGGATTTACGAATGCACAGCAGTAATCATCAACAACACCAAAAAGTATTCACACCTTTCATTGCAGCTGATTATAGACTGATGCAGGTGGTTTAGAGCATTAGAGAGTGTTGAAAAGAATATTTGTACAGGCTAAGCATGATATGTAAAAATAAAATATTCACTCCATTCTTCTTAAAGCTGGTAATCGTGCTCCTCACAAGGCAGCCAGAAGAACAAATTGGAAAACCAAGAAAAAGCTCTCTGCAGGTTTAAACATCTTCAAAAAAAGGCATTAACAAATCCATCTGAGGGTCTCAAAAACATTAAAAAAACTCTGTGGGTTTTTTGAATCAAATCTTATTGACTACAAACTCCATGAACACTATTTGCAGGCAGCCTTTGAAAATGATGATCAGCGGCTTTTTTCGCTCCAAGCCCTGCCCTCCCATACACACAAAACACACTTGAGAAGCTAAATAAAACACCACCATGCCAAAGTTAGACCCATTACTTTTATTTTGTCACACTTTAACACTTGCTGCAAGCGTGCGTCACAATATTCGCCGTCACTTCACAAATATTACAACAATGACATTAACGAGGTAGCTGACCTGTTTGCTGACCTGCTTTTTGTGTGTGTGGTTCTGCTCGGAGTGACGGAGGGCGAGGTGGGGCGAGGCGAGGTGAGGCGAGGAGAGGGAGTGACAGAGGGTGGGAAAGGGGGGAGGTCAAAGTAGCTTGGTGTTACGTCTGCAGCAGGATAGGTTGGCTGGCTGGAGGGGTTGAAAAATAATACAAGTTAAATGCCACTATGTGCGTATACACACTGAAAAAAGCTCGCTCTGTGGCAATTTCCATTTTACGTGAGTGTATTTTCTGATAAACATTTGTATGTAGATTGTCAAGAAGAAAATATATGTTTGGTATTTGTTTGTGGAAGTGTATGCACATTAATCTCTTTTAGCTAAAAGACTCAGTTTCCCAAACTAAATTCCTAAAATGTGCTTGTGTGTGTGAGGTACAACGCCACTGTGAAGCTTTTGTAAGTCAATCCGTTTGTTTATTCTCACTACAACAGTTATGCAGAGTGATTTAAAAAAAATTTCCATTTTAAATACACTTGAAATTGTATCAGATTGCACCCACTCAAACCCCGTCTCTGTAACTGTGTGTACATGCATGCATGTGACTCCTCCATAGCTATTTTTGCCCCCCACCTGTTAATGACTATAAAGCCGAGCTGAGGGAAAAAGGCCTGTAGCAGGGGGGTTGTGTCAGCTCAACTGGCTGATGGTCTCATGTCTGCAGCTCCCACTACCATCCTGGTGATTGAAGAGGCAATGGTAGCGTCAACACGTCAAAGACAAGTATCATAGCCGGTGGGATGTTGGTGGGCTCACATGGTCCGGTGTCGGGGTGAAGAAATCAGTTTCACCAGACAGTGAAAACATGATACTCCGCTGCCTGCTGACACAGGCAGATGCACTCTGTCAAGTTTGCTACAAGATGTGTAAATGCTGAACTGTAAAGTATACACTCGGAGAATAATCAGATTTAGGGTCGCTTTAAACCGGATTTCTGTCCATAGCCAGGTACGAATCTTTTCTAAATCGTTTTTCCCAGTAAGAAATGTCAGACACGATTATATAAAGTCATTATTTCAACACCACATTTCTCTGCAATGGAAAAAAATTAAGAATGTTTACGCTTGTAGCTTACTTTGACCTTCTTCAAAAAAAAGAAGTAATCCTATTTAAATTTAATAATTTTTCAAACCAAGCACTTCCAAACATATTTTGTTAATGTTTCCCTGGAGCAAGACTGGTTACTTCTAACTAGTATGCTAACATTGCTTGAACAAAATTGTCAGCAAAAAAGCATTCTGTCATTGTCATTAAACATTGCATAAGTTAATTTCTAAAACCCCCAAATTTTGCCTATAACATCATTTACAGAATTATTAACAATTTGCCGTGCTATTTGGTCTGAAGATTTATGAAGTCTTCCATGTATTTAAGGTGCCTCTGAGTGTCTTGTCCTCCTGTTGTCTGGGAAGAAAAGAAAACACTGCAGTCAGATATGCCTGGCATTGTGATTAGGTGGTGCAAGTGCATGCAAGAAGGTCAGACACACAAAGATGGAGGACTTAATGTGAGGGGTAGAAAATAAGGATAAAGAAAGTGTGAGAAAAGAGGATAACTCAAAAATGAAGGACAGGGAGACAAGTCATGCAGAAAGAGTTGCCTCCCTTCCCTCTAAGCCTGAGCAGACAAATTAAATGCAGCAGGAAAGTTATTAAATGAGTGGGTTTTAGTTATTCTTAGTGCTCAGTCCACAATTGATTGGAAAATATATTAGCTTGTTTATTACTGTCATGACATTTTGTAAAAATAATTTCTCTTTTCCATTTGGTACTTATGATGGATAGGGACTGGGATGCCAATGGAATACATCATTGTCATGCTTATTTTAATAACAATGAGATTAAAGTGCATATTCTACTGCATGCAACATAAAAATCTGTGGAGTCTCAGAGAGTGAAGTCTCCTACAGGGTGTTTTTTGTGAAACGTGTGTTGTTGACACCCAAGGTCAGATCGTCCTTTGCCTGAACATCCACAAACCAAAAGACTGGGAACTTCTTCACACAATCCACATCTGTGATGAATGAACGAATGCTTGTTTTGTTCCTCCTGCAATCCACAACCAGTTGCTAACATTTTTGTGTGTTAAGGGCCAGATTGTTGTCTCTGCTCCAGCAGGACTCATCCCTGTTCCCCAGGAATAAATAGTGCCATCTGTAAACTTTACAGTTGTGTTATTTTAGTGGACAGAACAGTCAGAGTTGCAGAAAGGAAAGAAAATGAAAATCACACTGTAAAGCTGATAAAAACAAGTTTGCGAAACGTTTTGATATGTTTGAAATGTTTACTGTTGCAAAAATCTTCTTGCATGACTCAGCTTATTCAGATATTTTATTTATTCTGTGCTGATACAAAACTGTGGAATGCCTACACAGTAACATAGATCTCTTCAAAATTTTATATTCTTTTGCAATGAACTGATTATTATTATTTTTATTATTAACATTAACATTAATGTCTGCTTAGATTGTTTTGACATTTCTAATTACTGCAACTACTATCCTATAATGTATGCATTGGTATGTGTGTGATAGTGCACAGAAGTCACTGTAAGGATTTTGTTGTTTCTGTGTGTTTATTTGGATTTCTAAACCCTTGTTTAGTTACACCTGTTTCTTGTTTCCCCTGATTGGCTCACTGTGTATTTAAACCCACCTATGTGCCTTGTTTGGTCCTTGTCTAGTTGTCTAGTTGTCTTGTCATGTCTGCATCAAGTCTCCTGTCAGATGTCTCTTGTTTACCAGTTGCTACCAGTTTTAAACCATAGCCTTCCATTCATTCTGTGCTGCCTGAATTTTGGACCATGTAGTTCTTACAACTTCATTAAATTCATCATTCATTCTTCATTTCAACCTGGGTCCTATGGTGCCTGTAATAAGTACTCACCTTCTTGAATGTTTAACACTTTGTTATTGTTTCCACAAATCAAGTGTAATCAGTAAAACTTAGCTTTTTGAACAAAGTAAAATGACAAAATGTGATGTCATGGTGAAAAATGTTTCCTAGAAATCAGTGACATTTGATTAAAGATAACTTTATGTGATTGCATATAGATATTTAAACTGACTGACCTATTTCAATACAGGTTCAGCTGATTGTATAGAATGAACAGAATGACGATCAGCTGAGTGCAGTGAGTGTGTCTGAAGTGATTGTAGTTTAATATATCTTGAAATCAATTCACAAGTTAATTTTTCTGCCTAACACTACCGTATAGAGACAAAAGAAAAAGTTATTGAAAAGTATGAGTCAGGGGATGGATACAGAAAATCTCTAAAGTCCAGGAGTTAAGCTAAAATAATCAAGAAATGGATGGAATGTAGCACATATAAAAATCTGTCTACATCAGATTATAGATTTTATCTTCAAGAGTAGTTTTTATAGGTATTGTATGTAGGTTTGATACAATAGAAAAATTATTTAAAGCCAAGTCCCAACACGTAGTGTTATTTTAGTAATTATAAGAATTAGATTAAAAATTAGACAATACACTTCTAAAGAAGATGTTCTTGCTTCCCATTGACTTAGCAGAACACCAACAGGTTATGTTTACATAATCCCTGCTTATTTTTGGTGTGTTGTTTGATTGTCAAAACCCTAGCAGCATGCATAATTTAAATATTACACTCAATCACTCATGATTATACAGTAAAATAATTTGCCATTTTCCACTTGCAATCTTGTTTTCTGTCTTTTTCAAACTGGGACAAAAAACTGCATCTCTTTATTGATTTTATTGCACCAACTGTTGCAAAAAAAGTGTTTGTCACATATGTATTTTAAAATAAGCCTTTTAATTGAAAGTGCGGCCGCTTTTGTTCAGTCTCTCGTGCAATGGTGACCATGACCAATTGATGGCACCATGTGAAAGGGAGGCATAAAAGTAGGGAGGAGTGAAGGGTGTAAAACTAAGCTGCCCTGATCCCGCAGGAATGCAGGGAGTTAGAACACTCACGTTGTGTGCTGCAGGAGGTGATGGGATTACACCGACACAATGGGGCATCTGGATGTGTGAGCTGCCAATTTGATATTCATTACTGTAGAGCAACAATTGACAACTGGACTTCTTGTTCATCTTGTAAAGTGTGCTGTCGGCAGTTTCAGGGAAGTTCTGTGAATAACCTATTTTTTGCAACTTCATACTTTCTCCTGCAGCAATATTTGGCAGGAATTTATTCAATGTTGTCAATCAAATATGCAGACCAAAAACAGCATACTGTATTTACACCATTACAGAAACAGAGTAAAACATTGCAATGTAATTTCCAAACCTTTTAACAAACATAATAAAGATGAGTGTTTAATCAGAAGTCTTTCAGCTGCTGTTCATTTGAGATGTTTTGGTTGCATTGGTTCTTTTTATGTGCTGTGTAGATTTTGTTTTTCAACTTCAAAATGCCTCTTGGAGACTTGTCTGCTGAAATTGATTAAAATGAATAAAAGAGGATTTTATTTCAGTCAGCTTGTGTTTCTGGAAGTTTCTTACACCAAATTTTGAATCTCTGCTGACCTTTAAACACGGCCCCCTTTTCGATGTTTGGAATCTGTCAGTCTGTAGCTTCTACTGTTTGTTTTATCTTTTCCCTACAGATGCCAGGAGGTACTGCTGGTACCACATAAGACCAGGATGGAGTACTCCATGATGTTCAGGGTTAGGTCATCCCACTCAATAGTTACAATGCTGAGTCAGAAATATTGCTTCCCAGATTCCCAGTGAGAAACCTTCTGATAAGCCAAGCGTAGAAGGGAGTGACTGTGTCTAGTTATAACAGATCGGACTGAACAGACACTTTGCATGTTTGTTTGCTGTCTTTTTGGTTAAAACCACAGATCTCTGCTTAGTAACTAAGAGTGAAAGTTCAGTAGGGGAACTTTTCATAAAATTGTTTGTTTTGTGTTTCCCTTCAATGTTTAGATTTTTGATGTCCACAACTATTTTTTGCCCCATTGATAGATTCCTCTACCTGAGCCTTGTACCTCTGCTGGTCATGCAGAGGAGGATGTTCTCCACAGTATAGACAAACATATAAAAACAGTCAAATATGAGAGTGTACTCAATGAAATAAGCCAATAACTTTCATAAAATCACAATGGCAGGACACAGCAAAATCTCCACATTAAAATATGGTCATACTGATGTCTTCAGGAAACAGCCAGCACAAAGATGGAAAAAGCTTTCCAAGGTCAACCTGAAAATTTAACCTCAGGTTAGCCTGAAGTAGGAAGGGCCATTGCCAAGTTGCAAGTAATCCAGATTGTTTTATAGATCCACTGGCATATTTCTTAAATTATTATATGAAATTATTTTTGATATTTTGCCATGAACTAAAGAGTCTTTGCCAAATAGTGCCAATTACAGCTAAATTTGAAAAGAGAAAAAAAAACATGTTGTAAAGAGTAATTATTAGACCGTATGTGACAGACACCATCCTAAAGTAACACAAGAAGGACTACATTTAGTGATCACATTAACTCTGAAAGCACTTGGTTGCATTTAGAGGTATAAGAGCAGTGGGTGCTAAATTCAAATTCAAGTTGCACTTCCCATTGTATCCATTTATTTTCATTCTATTATGTGCTGTGTGCCTTGTGTTAGTCCATCAAAACTTGTGGTTAAAACAATCAAGTGACATAGTAGCTTTTGCAAGGCACTGTACATGATTTTTCTAATCAATATAGATTTTTTTAAAAGTCCCTTTTAAAGAAAAGTGATTATTTGGCATCACCAAACAGCTCTAATGATTTAAGCACAATGCTGTTATTAGTGCTATTACTTAACCAAAAAGTTATAATAAACATGGTTAACTGGTCGGCTGGCTCTCAACACAGGTCAGAGCAGGGAAAAGACATGGATTTACCCTGGCTGAGGGTTATAAGTTCAACTTAACAGGATTATGAAACATGCTTACTGTCAGCCCAGACCAGTATAGAATCTCAAAAGTTTTTTGGGACTGGCCTGTGACCAAGACTCATTTAAAATTGGACAAGAAGGAATGAAATATTTTATGAATATTTCCATTGCAACTCTAGAGGTACAAATATGACCATTTTTAGCCTGTAGGTTTTAGGTGATTATTTTAGTACAGTAAAAAATCAGATCCTTCTACATTATTCATTTTTATGTCACACCACTGGAGTGTGCAAATTACAGTGTTATTATTATTATTTGCAAGTAATGAAATGAACTGGTGTCTTGGTAATTTTCCAAAACCAACAGAAAAAAAAAACATTTTACAAAGCCAACAGGGTTAAACATTTGCAGTCAGAAGACCTTCAAAGATACATGAACACGAATGTTACTCTTCACCCACATGCAGGTTCAAAAAATAGAAAAATAACCCAATGCTCTCAGAATATTCTGCTTCAGTTTATTCTCACTTTTTTCTACATTCACTTGATTTTCACACATGTATTCCTAATACAACTGCCACTCTCCACCTACATGCTCAAGTGTGCAAGCCGGCAAGGCATGAGAGAGTCCAGTGGTGGAACTACATGATCTAACTTACTCTAACCTGTGTTCCCCTGTTAATACATTCTGTTTGTGCCTAAAACTGCTGTGTGTGATTTACACTAAGGCATCAGGTGAACAAAGGTGGCAGCCTTTGCAGTCCTTTGATTATTTTAATTATCTTGTACAATATTGTGTTACTGCCACTCTCTCTGTTATGTATTTCTCACCCCATTGATTTTACTACTGGCTCAAAGTGTTTTTGTCCTACATGAAGCCTCAAAAGGAGCTGCTGCTCTCATTAGCTCTTTAATGTCTTTAGCATAGAAAGTATCACTAGAATATTTCTTCTGTTAAAGCGGAGTTTTTCTTTTCAGTGTCGTCACATATATGATCAGTATGAGGGTGAGCGGCAAGGTACATCCAGTACCGGGAAACACAGACACACAATCACTAAAAGTGATTTTTTTTTTTTTGTTATGAAAGGAAGCAGAAGTACACAGAAACAACTCAGGCATGCACAGGCAAACACTGAATTCATGAACAAACATGACAAAAAATAATTTCAGCTGTAAAATCTGACGTCAATAAGTGAATTATGATTTCAGATGCCATTAGATGCCAAAACTGGAAAACCTTTTTCATTTTAATAAATACACTGCAAATTTAAAAAAAATCACTATATATAAAAAAGATTATCTCAACTAACAAGGTGTTTTAAAATTTTAACAAATGATATATTCCAAACTTTTTCTAGCCACCCTGCTCCATGCATAGCACATTGTTACTTCAGTAGTTATTTGTTGTTGTGTGCACTAATTAGTGCAATCAGTGTTCCAGACACGAACAAATCACTTAAGTGGGACTTTCCACTGCAAATCTTGTGCCCAGGCACATCCGGTGACGCACAATGCTGCAAGTAAGTGAGCTTATTTAATGCAACACAAAGCTAGTAGATCGAGCTTTTTCTCATCAATTAGACTTTAGAAATTGGAGAAGTTGGAGTGATCTTTAACTGGGCCTTGTACCTGGATATCATAATATGATCATGTTTTATTGAAGGTAGAGATGGTAAAGTGTATTACAAATAACCTACAAAAAATTACTTGAATTCATTCTATGCTTTTCCTTTGTAGAAGCAATGTATCCTAGCCTTTGTATGCAAAATCCAAAAAACAAAACCTCTTTAGTTTTATCTCAACTGTAATTCAAGAAGCATATTAGAAAGCTTTCTCAGAGACTGCAAGGCATTTTGAAATGAACTAATTCATTTAAAAACATTTCTTCATCATCTCCCCTTGGATCAGATAATTGAGCTGACGCTTTATGAAAGTTATTTTTTCCTTTTTGGTCCATTTGAAACAACAACAAATTGTTGTTTATATTTTCTAAATTAGAATTTTCAATACAGAGTATGTGAAAAATATGTTAGTCAGAGCTATATATTATTGCTGGTAATTATTTCATTCTGTTTTATTTTATTTTAAGTTGTCTAATCAGCGCCCCGTTCAGACTCTTGTGCTCCAGGAAAATGCCAATGTACCCAGATCTGCCCAGACTTCCACATTCCCATCAACCAGTTTGACTCTGTGTGATAATTCTTTTTTCTTATGTGTTGTGTTAATTTTGTATCAAACGGATTGAAAATATGACTGAATCAATATTTTTTGTGTTTACCCAGGTAATCTTAGCTTGATTTACATTTGTTTCAAATGAAATATTCAGTTCATTGCATCATTGGGTTTTTGGTCACATTCTATGGATAACTTGATATAGTCAAACTTACTCTTTCAGATCAGAACATCTGTCTTGAAAAAGTCATTCAAGACAGATTGTTTGTTTGACATGACTCCTATCATATCAAACATAATTTGCATAAAATAAGTAAAACTACACAAAATGAGAGCAAAGGCAATGAAACTACACAAAATGAGAGCAAAGGCAATGAAAAGGAGCAGACACAAAATAAAACAGAAATCAAACACATCAAAGTTGTCCAAAAGTAACTGAAAACAATGGTACGAGTGATCGGCAATAAACCCAAGTGTGGTTTGGTACATCTTTTTCCTATTACCCAATTTATATAGTCTCTTCTATTCTATTATATTAACATGGTAATCCAAAATAAATAAATAAACTGCACTGACACACAGATTGTGCCATTCCTCAAAGGAAAAGAGATATGATGCTTCCAGAGATCTTCCTTTGAACTCTGTGACTGCCCTTCTCATAACTGAGAGCGATATCCTCAGGTTACTCTGCATCAATCAAGGAGAGAGAGAGAGAGAAAGAGAGAAAGGGAGAGCGAGTTAAAATTATCCACCTAAAGCCAATCCTCCTCAAGCTGATCACTGAGCTGAATGGACTAACAAGCTCAGGGACTTCAAAATTACATGCAGGTAAGAAAACTTTCTTTCTTGAAGAACTTACTTGCTGTTTTATGCACAAAAAAGTACGTGATTGAATCTAAATATTACCATAGCGAAAAGGTTGTTATCCAAAAGAAACAATCTGGAAATAATGCTGCCACACTCTGAGATCATTTCCATTTGTTTAGATTATCTGAAGTCTAAAGGAAAAGTATATAGTTTTCAGTTTTCTTCTGATTTAAAGTTCAGGATAACTAGACTTGATCCTCAAGTTCATAATTTTCATGTATGGGACTAACAATCCCAGTTTTTTAAGGAAAGGGAGTCCAGCCCGTTTGGAGGAACAAATGACATAATATTTTCTGTTGCAATCCAAACACAATATGTATTCTTTCAAGCATGTTCACAAACTAGAACATGTAAGCTATGAATGTGTATATATATATACAGTGACGATTAGTAAACGTAACTTTTCAAATGAGCTAAAAGAGCATTGATGAATGTCTTACCAATGTGTTGGAATAATTCAAATCAGTTTTCCTTTCAATTGCAACAATATTTAGTAATTTGGTCATTGTGAATTTTGTAAAATCGTTTCTTACAGATTTTTTGATCAACAACTGCTGATATGCTAATAAATTATAGGGAATCGATGGTAAAAAAAAAACATTTTAAATTCTATGATTTTCTTGAAAGAATACCTTTTGCTTTCTAATAGTTTGAGTAGTTTGAGGTCATGTGCTGCAAAATGCACATGACCTCAAATAACTGGATTATTCAAAATCGTGATTTTTTTTTGTTTGTTTGTTTACTGCCTTAAATCTCCCAATATACATTTAAAAAAATTGACAATTCTAAATTTTATTGGTACTTGATTTTTTTATACACAATAATGCAGTACATGCAATCACTTATTTGCTGGCTCATTTTTCTTATGTAAAATGGATCTGCTTATCCAAATCCATTTTAGATATTTAAAAAAAAAATAAAAAAATCATGCACAGAAAAGCTAAGATTATCAAGATTTTAATGTATTTGTTATTCTTAGAGAATATGACTGTGATTTTAATTGAAGTATTTGATTTGTGATGTCAAACTTGAGTGTTTTATATTCCTAGTGTGTTGGGTTACTCAAAAAAAAGGTTTTTTTGTTAATTTTAAATAAAATATAATTCACAATTCTTGCAAGGGAAGCACAATGCCAAAAAGGACATTTGTGTAACATTACAGTAAAAAGACTTCAATATAATTACATTTTCACCATTATTTATTTGAAATATCAATACATAAAGAAGACCCAATGAGACATTATTTATATATTTTTATTTATTTTGAGTTCTTGGGTTAGTGCATCGTTGATGAGGTTGAAGCCACGTGCAGCACTAGGACTTTGGCTTGGCTCTTCTTCATGGTCTGAAGACAGATTAAAAAAGTCAAGCAAATTGTAAGGATGATCCAGTCCCTTTTCGGGTGTGAAGTGCACCTGTTGACTCACGTGAGAGGCCAGCGCTTGTAAATTCAACTGGGCAAATAATAGAGAAAACATCTTCAATTGAATTGAGTTATTTCTCCTCAACACTTAATCACAGCTAACCATTTTTCATGCCATTTGGCTTAAATGCAAGATTGTTCACAAACTAACAAAATCAAAAATCAGAGCACAGTTCACAGTGAGGTTAGATGTGACAACAAATTATTTATAAATATAGTTTTGCAAAAAAATTAAATTTCTGATTTGTTGGAAACTGATGTTGAAACACAACATATCTTTATTACAAATTTAATTATTAATGGATCTTTCAGACTTCTGAAAAAAGCCTCAAACTAGAAATGTTTGTACTATGTTGCTAGAAACCTTACATACCATTGGGCCCAAGTCCTTTCATGGTTTAGTATCTGAGGATTTGTGGATTATTTCATGGAGCACATTGATAATTCTCAAAACAAATGGAAGAGTGGAAAGCTAAAATACTTAGACACAATCCTACTTGACACACAATTAGATGGCACTTTTGCGACACATCCAATACAGTTTTGTTATTGCTAATTGATGGTTTCCCCAACCACAGATGTAAGTAAGTTTTAGAGGGAGTCTCAAGTATTTGAGGATTTTAGTCATTCACAGGCCCATGAATACTGGGAGTCCACTGTTTTGGTAATCTGATACATTTGTCACAAAGTATTCCAATCCAGTTAAAGATTACTCAAAAAAGTGTTGTTTTTACCAGTTTTCACATTTCCCACCATGGAAGACCTAATTTTTGAAGGTCAACACTGCCTAAATTTTAACTCTATTAATCTCATTACCTCTGATTCCTTCAGTGTGGTACAAAGATTGTCTTGGCTATTGATAAAACATTTAGCCTTTGCAAAAGCTTACCAAAATGTCCGCTCCTACTTTCATAACTGGGAAAATAGTCACAGAAAAAAAAAAAAAATGCTGATTATGCAGTTGGGACTCAAGTTACAAACCTAACAGTTTATTGGACGTATGCATATATCTGGAATGTGGTTACCTTTGGGCAAATGAAAACACACATTGTGAAAAGATTACCATGCTGACCATTTTGAGGCTTCAAAAATTTGGATGTTAAAAGTCTTTCTTGTTTTTAAAGTGATGGTTATTGAGGTATCAACCTCTAAAGAGTCATCATATGTTGCTCAGAAGAATAAAGAAGGGTTTTATTTTAATTAAATAATTTCAACTTTTTTCATAGATTCCAACTTTAAAAGCAAGTATATATTCACATACCAAACCATCACTTTACTGTTTATACTGCTTATAAAGAGAAAACATTTGCATTGGTAGAATATTATATGTAACAACATTTCATTACCATATTAATTAGCTTTCAAGTTACTCTTTTATTAACATGATGGCAAAAAAAATGTCAATAGTTATTTTTATGTAGGTAAAAAAATAAAAAAATATTTATTCTGAAAGAGCTAATTCCAGAAAATTAGCACATAAAAAATTATAGTGGTTATATTTTCTGTTGTCAATGAAGATTAGCTATAACTCATGTTCTTGTTAAAGTTAACCATACAGCCACAGAACCTAATGCGGAGGATTGAATCGTGCAAAGCACAAGGTCAAAGCCTGCACAGGAAGAGCATCTTTAAGCTGCAGACAGGTCAGGACCTTGTGCATATTTACACTTATAAAGCAACTGGGTCGTCTAGTGGTTTCTTGAAAAGCTAAACTGGCATACAGAATGACACTGTATGTCAACAACTTCTAAGAAATCTTTCCTAAAGCTGTGTAAAGAACTTTCTTTAACTTTACAATAAAATGCATATTTCAATCTATCAAGGATAAGTTCTAAACATGTTTCAAACATACAAGTGTGACAATGAAATAACACTTTCAAAGATGACCATCATTTGAAAATCTCAAAAGAAACTAAAGGAAAAAGAAACCTGAGGCACTTTGTGATCACTTAGTGATCACAAAGACATGAAAAAGAGATATTACTTGTGTTCATAAAATAGAACACTAGTCTGTTTTTGTATGTGTCTTTTTTAGAAACTATCACAAAATAAAGATATGGGAGGGAATATGTTGTTTTCCTCCAGCTGTTATTGGGGGAAATGTGGGTTACATTCATATCACCAGATATTCAAAACATGACTTTTATGAAAGTTATGGAATGTTTTCTGAAAGAAATATTTCTAGTTTTTTGACAAATATACTTTGTTTTCTGCAATTAAACCAAACACTGTTCTAGCTTGTCATATTATTATTGATAATTTTAGCTCTTTTCCACTGAAAGGGTATTTGTTTTGAAATTTGATTATTTGCATTTTTTTTTTTACAGTGGCATTGTGTTTTATACTATTCTTGAGAAGAAAAAGAAACATCTTTGCTTGTGGGGCATCCATGTGCTGCCACGTGTCATTGAGAAGTATCATGTTTTTAAAGCTCGCCTAATGTTGTCTTTAAGTATGGCTTGTTGTCAGGTTAAGTCCCTAATGTTGTTGCTAAATCTTTATATCACTCACTCAAAGATAGCCAATCTATTGTCTGAAGAGAAAAAAAGATGTCATACCTTTCTGGGTCAAACTAGAAATTGCTTATCGTGATTTTATATGCAGCAAAATACATAAAAGCAGCAGGAGTTCCTTAGAAATCCATGTGACTCTTCCCTCACCAGCTTGCATATCCATGGTAACCTACTGCAATATTGTCTGGTATTGCTATTGCCATCTCAGACTCATCTCAAAGTTGTACCTCAAATTCAGGACAGACAGCCCAGGCACTAGGTGTACCATTTTGTTGCCTCTTTGAAAGGATGTTGGCTATTAGTTCCACTGTAACATCATTTCAGATGTTCCCATGGAGCCAGTCGAAAAGGAAGATCTTACTTAGGGATGTATATGCACATGACGCATGTATACTTGGAGAGACAAATTATCTACCCTGTTATCCAAAGGATAATCAATAAAAAGCCATGTTGCAATATTTTTATGCAGGTCAGTTCTAAGCATTGCATGACTAACAGCTTTGTTCAAAACATAAGCTTTAGCTGAAGCAATAGTGGCCCCGGCTTTTCTTGAGTCTATTTATTGAAAGTTTATTCATTTATTTTTAAGTATTTTGATGACTATTTAATGTTGCAGAAAAATTATTTTTACTGCTCAAATGCTACTACCAAAACTTCAGGCCAACACCTCTTCAAACGTAAATTAACACAGTGCCGTTGCAAAAAAACTGGAATTAGTTAGTTTGCTTATATTTCAAAGCCTTTCTTTTTTCAAAGTCACAGAAAGGGCACCACATCAGACTCAAATGTCCATGGGTGTTTAAACTGGTGATTGGCTATAAGGATAAGGAGCTTAAACAACAGCTTATGTGTTCTGAAACCTTTTTTCTTGGCTTTGCATCATGCTCTTTGGCAAGCCTCACACACATTCTTAAGTTGTTTTAGAAATGAAAACATTCACTTTTGTTCCACTTTCGTAAATTTAGTAGAACTCACTCAAATTGTGCTTTTAATGCCTTAACTTTATTGTCTTCTTAAAGTAGGCATAAAACAGTCCCATTTTCAAAAATGTTTAAGAAATTGAAATATTTTAATTTTGGTGTTTGTCGCTTCAAGTTTTCTTTCCCTTCTGAGTTAAGCAAAATATATATTTCAAAAACACTATTAATGGAAGATGGTCACAAGGTCTAAAAGAAATCTATTAGTCAAAAAAATATATTTGAATGGCGCTCAAAATACATGTTAACACAAATTTTAACAGAAATTGAATAACGTACAATAATGGTTGAAAATTTGTACATGACATTTAGAAGAGACAATAAATGAAATTGTGATTGTAAATTCTCAGTGATTATAGATTTGGCTCATACTGTTTATTTAAGTTTTGTGAGATGTTATGATTGTTTAGTGAGTTCTCTGGTAATAAGGTAAAGTTAACATTTATGAAATGAAGAACAAAATTCAACAAAGCATCTGATAAAGTTTAGCAGTTTGCATCAATTAATGATTTTGTTTCAACATGCTTCCATTTGCCCAGACTGTTTTTTTTCTTACCTTGTTCTCTGTCTGTGCAACAGGAAATGTTTCTCCAGGAGCTGATGGATGTTTAGAAGCTGAAGTTAAATGGATTACACTGAGCTGCCAAGCACAGGAAATCATAGAAGCCAAGACTGATCACTTGCCTGGCACTAACTAGCACAACACCACGTCCTCGGGTGGGACAACGTTTCACGATACATCAGCCAAGTTCACACAGCCTGATGATTTGCCATGGAATCAAGAAACTTTGTCCAATTCAAATAGGTTAGCTTAGGGGTGAAAAGAAACAGTTTGGCAGTGACCTTTGTTCATTTCTGAATTACTTCCTTGCTATCTTGGCATTTGTGTTAGTTATCGTTTTTTTGTTGTTGTTTTTTGTCATCCAAGAGGAAATTATGTCTCAAGTGAATTTGTTGAAATGATATGCTACAAAACACCTACAACCAACACAAATGACATCCATTCATGGTGTTCTTCAAAGTAAAGCTAATTCTTGGGGAAACAGTCATTTATCAAGGGGCTACATTCATTCAAACTAAACATGGCCAGAGACAACAGCTTTCTGAGCCTCATGCCTTCACCTGTGAGGTATGAGCAAAGGTGTGGACCAGCCCTGGGATTAATCCTGCCTCTTTTCCCCCTACATTCTCTTATTTTTTATTATTTTTTGTCATGTGCTGCTGCCGTGGGCACCATAGAATATGACTACGGAATTAGTCCCAAATTTGTCTGCACTCCCGTTCCCCCAGAAGCAGATCCCAGCTGTTATTCACCACCTTCTGTGCCCCATGGACCAAGTAGCAGCAGTCATGGGAATGACCACGGCACTGGCAGTCATCGGGGCATAATGTCAGATGAGGCAAAAGCCACCATTTTGCACCTTCGTGAGAGCCTTGTAAGGCAGAAGGAAACAATCCTGGACCAGAGGGAGACTATCAGAGAACTGACTGCCAAACTCACGTTGTGTGAAGGGTTTGGCGGCCACCACAGCATTGGTCATCACGAAAGCCATCATGGTTACCATGACAGTCATCATGACACTCACCATAGTAGCCATCAGGACAATCATAACAGCCACCATGATGAGCACCATGGACATCATGGCAGCCATCATGGGCCATCATCACTGCACCACGGGCCCTCAGCCCATCATGACAGTGACCATCACATCTCCCATGGCAGCCACAGGTCAGACCTCCACCACCAAAAGGGCTCATCATATAGCAAACACAACTCTTTTTCACCAGAACAGACTGGAAAGACGCTGCAGACATTGAAAGAGAGGCTGGAGAACTTGCAGGTGAGTGAAGCAAAATGAGTTTCAGACATTTTCAATATTCACATTGACCTTATTCCTAAACTGTCACCAAAATGTGGCTAATAGGTTGCCATAATTTTTGGATATTTATGTTAGCCTTGCTATGCAAAGTGCTTAAGTTTATCATGCATCCACAAGGATACTGTAAACAATTTATGTTTCACTGGGAGTAAAACCAGAGGCTTTCTTGTGGCAATCCAACAATGCTACTAATCTTTCCAATTGTGTAGTATCTAAATCAAACAACAGGAACTTGCATGTTGTTTCTCATCCTGGAGTTCTGTGGGGGCATTTTGACACCTGGGTTTTGCCTTCATTGGTCCAAATCAATTTATTTTAACTTTCACCTTTTTCTGGTGGTTTGGTTTCTTGAAATCTTGAAAGTTGCAAAGGAATTTGGTATTAGCAGAAAAGACTTGCAGCCTATGTTTGTTTACCTTATCACATCCAACAATGCAATGCATAACTGGATACAGGAAAGCATTTGAATCGAGTTTGTAATACACCTCTAGTACCTGAGTTGCATTGAGGTTGGATAGCACATTGTAAACAAATCTCTCTGGATTTTATTTGTATTCGCACTGAAACTACACCCTCTCAACTGTCTTGGTACATTACACACCCTTGTGGAATTGCTGTATTCATATCCAAGTTAACAAACAAAACCAAATGGGGGAATGAACCAGAGTTTGTTTTAATGGTGCTGCAAATCCAGTCCTCAAGCACTTACGGCCCCCCATTTTCAAGTGTCTCTATCCAACACAACTGATTGAAATGGCTCAGCTGTGCCTGAGCATATCCCAAAGTTGTGTATAGGCCTACTATTTGATTCGCATGAGTTGAATCAGACAAAAGAACAAAAACATGCAGCATACCCACTCTTGAGGACAAACATTGGACACCACCGATTTAAATGGACCAAACACTTGAGGTATAAAAACATCAGTAGTGTCTACCTGCATTCCAATTAGAGTAAAGGAAAAAGACATTTAAAATTTCAACAACCTGTGATGGACTGGCAGCCGTTCTGGGGTGTCTTGTGATTTTGTGAAAGCTGGGATAGCCTACAGGTAATGATGAACCAGAACAACATAAATCAGGGACAATTGTGCAGATGAAACAATATAACAACTGCACAGATTTTAAAAACAGTCTTACAATTATTGCAGTTTTTTAAAATAGATATTTAAGTGTTAATGAGCCTGTCCTCAACTTATTTGGTAACATTTTCATTTTAAGCATACTTAAAGTGAATGAGATATAAAAGTCATTAAATAGATTATATACATTATCTATTTTCTTTGGAAAACAATCAAAATGTGATTAAATGTTATTATCTTCCCAATTAAAAAACTAGGCACAAAGACATATATGTCAAAGCAAATATATCTTTTAGAGACCTGCCAGTTGTCACAGAAATAGGTCCCAGTTGCTCCGATGTACTGGCGTTGGCCAGGACAGTCTATGAAAGTAGAACATGATGATTTGGGGAACGTTTTGCCTTTAACTTCATCTTAGTCATTCACACAACCCATCCACATAATTGTGCCTGTTTATATGTTTATATGTATGTGAAAAGCCTCATTTAGTGTGCAGGTAGTCCCAGACTATGCTCAGAGAAATCTCATTCAATCTCCCTTAAAGGTGCTAGTCAAAACATGATCACTGCCAGGATTTATCCTGTGTCACTCCCTTCTCTAACAAGATGTCTACACTACTGGCCCCTGGTCATGCACCGAACGGCGCTAGCCAGCCTCACCTTCAATTACCTTCATCCCTCTTGATAAGGCTACTAACTGTAGCGTGTGTTGGCAGGAAACAAAGCCGGATTTGCTAGTGAGGAAGATGAGCACAAGCAATGGGGGGGGGGCAAGGGATGAAAGTGCTTTGAAATAATAGATATCTTGCTAAATTTAATTTTTAATTCTACTCCATTAAGATATGATTGTGATATAAATAAAAATGCTTTTTAAACCTTGATTTTATTGTTTAAATTAAGATTATTAATGCCTCAAGTATTAGATGATATTTAAATTGCTTGAGTAGCTTATAACACTATTTATATTTTTATCTCCAGGCAAGAAACTCCTCCAGTTCCTACTCAAGCTCCCTGAGAGAACTCCTCCAGCGAAAGATCAATGCTCTAGAAGAACAGCTACACAGTTACTACAGAGATCACCATAATGACCACCATGCTGACCACCATGATGACTCACATAATGATAACCACAACGGCAGCCACCATGATGACCACCATTCTACTCACCATGGTGGCCATCCTGACGATAGCCACCATAGCAGTGGTCACCATGAAGACCATCACAGCAGCCACCATGGTAGCCATAGATACAACCATCACAGCAACCATCATAGTCGCCATTATGACCCCCACCATGGCTGGCATCATGGTCATCGCTATGGTCACCATGAAGACCATCACAGCAGCCACCACAATGACCATCATAATGACCACCATGGTCACCATCATGGTGGTCATGATAGCCATCATGATAGCCATCATGACCACCATGATTCACTGCATGGGCATGGATATCATGATGATCACCATGATGATCACCATGGCACTGAGGACCATGACAATCACGAAGGGGAGCATCCACCCAGGCGCCTTCCTTACACTAGCAAGGAAACAAGTCTGCGGGGCTCTGGACACAGCAAGCTGGAAACAGTTCTTGGCCAACTACATCACAATGACCATGGTGAGCACATGTTCTGAACTAAACATTTACATAAATCAGTTGCTATTTGTAGGTTGGTATTTTAGATTATTCGTCAAGATTACATCTTCACATAAATACTCAAATATCGTGCAGGTTACCTTTAATTCTATATTAGATAAATATTGTATAACACACAATGTTTCCATTTGTACTGTTCTGATCCCCGTTTGAGCCACTCATCTGTATTGAAATGAGAAAGATTAGATCTCCTAATAAAACAACAAATAACATTACGAGACCTTGTGGTAATAGGTATTATTCAGGGGAGTCTGTTGAATAGTTGAAAAGTATAAAACAGTTGAAACGACCCCCTTCATCTCTAAATTCAACATGTCTCCCACTAAACTGCCCTCTTACAGGGATTGGCATTCATCAATTCTTGTATATTTACTCCTATGTTTCCTCGTTGCTTTGTGGCGTTGTCAGCATTTTTTTTTTGTGTGTGTGAGAAAAGTGTAGAGCTATGTTTGATCTTTAGTTTTATTGGAATTAATTCAGTCTTTTATCTCATCTTACCAGGAAACCAAAAGAAGCTTAAGAGTCCAAGTGCTTTCCTCCTTGAGTTTCCCATGAGGACCAACTACATGTATGCCAAGATGAAGCGATCAGTGGTCAATGAGATCTTCGCCCTGACCATCTGTCTGTGGCTGAAGCCAGGGGAAGGTTCTGGCCTCGGAACACCCATTTCCTACGCCGTGCCTGGGCAAGCTAATGAGCTGGTGCTAATGGAATGGGGCAGCAATCCAATGGAGCTGCTCGTTAATGACAAGGTAACACGGTCACATGTACAAAAACATCTACCATCAGATATGGCAGTAACTGCATATGGTCGAAGCCCACATAAGCATTTAACTGAAAGCTTATATTAAGCCATGCTTTCTTAGACATCCATGCATAATTGTAAAAAATTATAGCAAATGTACCAAAATATATGTATTTACTATATATCTGATTATAAAATAATTCACCAGCTGAAGAAAATGGGCAACAGGGTCAACTTCTTAAAGATACATTCCTGTACTTTTAGTCAATTCAACCAAATGTTTCCCTTTCCTCATAGAATACTTCAATGTTGATTTAAACAATAGCATCTACTTATTTACTTCAGGTATTCTTTATGTTGTGTTTTATGTTGTATTTAATTTACCTAGGAAGAGAGGTTTGTAAATCTAGTTGTGTATATTTTGTTGCTCTAGTAAATTGGTTGTGGACATCTAGGTTCGCGTGACACTAACCTACATACAAATGAATGACCTACAAAGATTTTCATTATACTACTAATCCCCTAATCTTTTCTCTGAAAAGGTTTTCCGTTTGGTTCCTTTTGAATGGAAAGTATTGGTCGACTATGTCCCTTCTTTGCCCTAGTACTGGGTGATCACAACAAACAAATAAGCAAAGCAATTAATCCTGTTATAGTCTTGCCCTGACTGACCTAATTGTCTGTATGAGAGACCAGGAAGATAAAACTATCATGTTTGTTGTTTGTGAGTCAGATGCATAGTCATGACCAAAACAATTAATGATCCACTGAAGGACATGAATTCAGTTAGCAAGGTTGAAAATAATTTGTCGATTTGGGGTGATCTTTTTCAATGTTCACATGAAAGACTTATTTTTCAGAATATTAACCATTTTTGCCTGTCTATTCTTTATAGGATATTGCTGAGAGAACAGTAAACTGACATTGAAAGGTTAATTAACCAGTTTAAATACCGAGTCTGTTCTTGGCTTCATTACAAATGCTGCTCATGGCTTTCTAAAGGCAGTGATAAAACAAAATTCAAATTAAATGACTAATGAGTTGTGCATCTTTAATTTTGACAATTTTACTTTCAGATATATATTTTCAAACACTTGGAAATGTTTTTTATGCACATACTGTGTGTGTGATACCCTTTTTTATTTAGTTTACCTTCAGTGCACAGCAACACATGTTGAGGTCCATCACTTGCTGATCTGTTTCATTTTTATATTATGGTATTTATGCAGAAATTTAAACACTATTGTAAAAATTAATTATAGTTAGAGGTGTGGGCTTTTGGGGGCATGACTTATTGCGACATACAGCTGAAGAAAGCTCTAGTCAGTCCTGCACTCCCTGTGCTCTCTCATTAAAATGGCTTTAAATCACAAGAATTGGCTGAAAATTTTAATTTGCTTTGAAAGTATAGCTGTAAAAATTGGCATAACTCGATATCTGTAGCCAGCTTGTGCCTAGTGGAAAATCAACTAAATAAAATAATTTTTCAAAAACAATTCCCAATGTTTGGCAACACAGCGTTTGAGTAATACATGCCCAGCTGTATTGCCCAACAGCTGCATTGCTGTCGGGACTAGTGTCCATAAATTTACCTATTCCATTCCTTTATTTTATTATGTTGCATTTCAAGATGTCCACCACACTTATAAGCATGAATGAAACTGGTTGACAGGGTGCAGCAGGCATTTGTGAAGAGAGCAGTTTAATCAAGATGTGGCAAAGTCTTCAGTTATATTTTAAATAACAGTTTTTTGTGTATTTCTTTTTACCCCTTCCTTCTTTTCTGGTTTAGGCAGTGACACTACCAATAACTTTAACAGACGGAAAGTGGCATCATGTGTGTGTGACATGGTCAACACGTGACGGCGTTTGGGAGGCTTACCAAGATGGAGTGAAGAAAGGTTCCGGACAGAACCTGTCAGCCTGGAATTCCATAAAACCAGGAGGGATCTTTATGTTGGGTCAGGAGCAGGTGAGCAGTTTGTTTTAAATATTATTGAACTGTTAATCTATACCTCCTCTTTGGAGTTTTATTTATATATATGCCTTCTCCTCCACACCAAAGGACACAATGGGAGGTCGCTTTGACATCACTCAATCTTTCTTGGGAGAGTTGTCAGATCTCCAGTTCTGGTCCAGAGTCTTGACAGCTAATGAGATTCACACCCAAGCAACATGTGGAAACCACCTTGTTGGTGACGTCATGTCATGGTCTGAAGAGCAAGTGGAACTTCATGGAGGGCTGACTGAGCTTCCTTTTGAGCCTTGTCACTAAATAGAAACATTGAATTCTCACAGGCAAAGCAGTAGAATTATATGATTAAATGCATGTGTCAAAAATGGATGGGGAATGGAGAAATATAATTTTTCTGCCTTCTCCACCTACGCGCTCACTTCCATGTTCTCAGCAGGACTGCTTTGAAAGCTCCCAAGAGCGCAGCGCTTTGGATTTACTGCCTGTATGGTCACGACTGCGGCTGCTGCTCTGATGGATTCAACACACATAATTGGATTTCCTTTCAGCAGAACAGCGACAGACGTTGCTGGATTCTATTGACAAGCTTGCTGCAATCATCACAAACATTAAAAAAGGGTGAAAAAGAGAGTAAAGGGACAGGAAAAAAGCCTCATCAGCTCCTCAGATGTTGTCACAGGATATGTTTCTTTTACAGGTCAAACCTGGCATTTTTATAGTATTACTCGATAATGTTAACTTGTATACATTACGTATATTAGTATTTCATATTGAAAATAATGCAGGCTATTTGAGGAAAAAAAATACAATTAAAAATAATTAAATGGATGGGTTGTGTTGTACCAAATTATGCATGTTGTCAACACAGAATTGAAAACGCTTTTCATTTGACCGCTGTTAGTTGTTGCGTAACGGTGAGATGGTTCGATGTCAGGTGTGACATGCTATGGCTTTAAGCCACCTAACAGCATCAAAACAGGTAAACCGGCCTACAACGTGTCAACGCTGTGAAGCCAACGTCTCCTGATCTACTGGTGGCTTATGTTAGGATTTACCTGTGAACAGCTGACCTTATCCTGCCTATTTCCAACCAGCTCAAACCTTAAGGCAAAGGCAGACATGCCAACACATATGCAGTTGCACATGCTCAGAAAAGCTAAAGAAGTGAGAAAGTATTGCTGGTCCCATGGTAGCAGCTTGTATCTTCTTATTTTTTTTTTCTTTTTGTACATGTACATAGTATTATATGGTCTCTTTCCATTGGTCAAAATACTTTAGAACTGTATTTGTTACATTGTAAATAAGTAAAAAAAAAATAAATAAATAAATAAACTGTATTTTCCTGATCTTTTCTTATCTCTTTTTGCTTTTGGAGGATATCCTCCATAACAAATTGTTGAAATCTGTCTAAGTTTGGCTTTAAGTCAGGCTTTCTTGCTTTGACCAGTCTTTGTGTAAAAAAGGGATATTAATTACAGCATTTAAAAAAAATAGCTTTAAACATCTGCTAAATCTTTTATGTATGCCAAAGTATGAAGCACTTTGAAATGTTTGTCCTGTCTTTTTCTGTGATAAATAGTGGGCCAAATGTGTGTTACACCTCTTTCAAACGTGTTCTTTGTTTTTGTCATTTAGACTACATACATTTACTGCAGATAAATATTTGTAAGCTCTTTACTCAGTATGTAGAACAATGGTAGCATCATCATCATTAATAAAATATCTGCTTATTTTTCGCCTTTACGGTATATGCCAGCATTTTGATAGCATTTGTTTTGTTAGCCTTTGTATGTATATAACATGTTATAGTTCAAAACAGTCCCTCCCTCAAGTGTGAGCCAAAAATGCATACAGATTTGTAAAACTTGAAGGAGTAAGATTATGAATCATAAATGCTGGAAAATGTTTGTAAATATACACCAATTTTGAATAAAACAATTTAAAATAACATTTCTGTACCGTCCTGTGGAGAATATAGATTAAGAGTGTACCCAGGCAGGTAAGAAGTCTTAGTTATGTTAGCCTCTTTTACAAATCTACAAAAAGTTATTTGGTGTTTGAAGAGTTAGTTCAGAATGAAGTGAGCTTCAGTAAAATTATTATTTGCTTGCTAAATAAAATTGTTTATAATGGAAGTTGGCTGCTAGTCAGACACACTGTCTGTTTTAGCTGGCTTTAGAAGATTAAACTATTAAAACCAACAATAATGATCATATGCATTGGGCACAACACTTAGCAGATATTGACAGTATACAAGTTCACAATAGATCAGTATTATATCTGGAAATTAATATTTCTAGGTTAATTGCCCAGAAATGTTTTTAAGCAGTTGTGTTAGCAGAAACTCAATGATTTTAAGTATTAAGACACAGCAAACACAACTTTCTGAAGTTAAAGCTGAACATTGAAAGGGGTAAGAATTCAAACAGTTCATTTTATGTTGATTTAAGTAGTTCAGACACTGCTGACTGCTTTTTTAGTTACACACAACCATTCCTGTGATTTATTGAGAATTGTTTAAAATTGATCACATACCCAGTGAGTTGCAACTCTGAAGAATATCAAGAGAGAATGGACAGACTGTTTTGAGATGATAGAAAGACATCAAGCTTTCAGATTTTGAAGAAGATGGTCTGCAGTAGCCGAAGACTGGATTCCACCCCTACAACCTAAGAGCAGGACACTGAAGCTAAATTTGCAGAGCCTCACCAAAATTGGACAGTAAAAGATAGGAAGAAATTAATGCCTATTCTAATGAGCTTTGATTTCAGCTGTGACACTCAGGTGGTATTGTCAAAAATTGATACAAATAACAAGAACATTTTGGTTATATCATGGGTTGCACCAATAGATCTAAGTCTAAGACCATGTAAGATGAATAATTTCCCTATTTTCCTATTACATAGACAGTGTGCACTCACCATATTGAAGGCCAATTTAAAAAACAGAAAACAACAGTCATTTAAACTATTTCTCAGCCACCACAAGAACATAAAACTATACCTTGTATCAATTCTGGAGGAAAATGACAAGTTTAATCTTGAAAAGAAATAAAACACTTTCCACAAAGCATTTCAACATCTCACTCTAATGAATTGAGGTTTAAAACAACAAATACATGGGATTGAATACTTGGATGCATCTATCCTTCTATTAATTTTGTTACCAGTTTAAGGGATGTTGTGTAGACACAAGAAATGTTAGTAAATGAAAGTATTTTCACAAAACAATGTTTTGTGTTGTTCAAGAATATCCATTTTCAATTCTTATCACAGCCACCAGAGGGCGCACATTCCTTGATATTCTCTGAAGGAAAATGGTGGCATCAGTCCTGCCAGACTTATTTGACTATCACACTCACACCTACTTTACATACAGTTGGAGAGACATTGACTTGGTATTCATTCATGACATTGCATCAGACGCTTGATCCTCTCTTTTGTGCTTGTTGGATAGTAGGAGCTTTTCAGAGGTTTACAAGCTTTGGAAACCTAACTTAAATAGAAAAGTTATGCTTTAATGGAGCAAAAGAGTTAAATCTAACCTGCATATGCTGAGATCATGATGAGAGTAAGCAATGGATTAACTTTGCTGGAAGGAGAAACGACTAAAGCCGACCAAGAAAAAAGTAATTCAGTTGTTTTTTTTTCTAAATGGTGTGATTGCATAATAACCTTTGTATATATATATATATATATATATATATATATATATATATATATATATATATATATATATTTTTTTTTTTTTTTTTTTTCCTAGAACATTAACGACTTTCACATTGAGAACAGATCAAGCGCTTCGACTGGATTGTTCCTGTACTTGAAAAATCTGTTATTTTGCATCAAAATGTATTATCTGTCTCAAGTGGTTTTTGAAATCTCACTGTGGACTCATTGTTCATTTAGTTATTTTTTCTCATAATTTAATTTCTTAACTTTTCCTGCTTTGAAGTTAAGGGTTAAGTAACCATGAAAGCTATGTTTTTTTAGTAAATTATATGGAAGGAAAATAGTGTGTTGCCATGCTAGTAGTTACAGTTTTAGTACACATTTTAAAATGATTTTCTTTTCAAAGTTAAAGGGAGAAGGTTTATGTTGATATTTCACAGAGAGACAATGACACATGTTCTTATTGTAGACTGTATCTTGTTCTATGTGAATCTTCATCTGCATTTCACTTAAATATTTCTCAAAATTCAAGTTAAAACTATGAATACAGCTTGATTGTAGGCTAAAAGTATGTTTCTGCACTATTGAGCTGATGCTGGGGAATTTGCTCATACTTTTGTTTGGGCCTTTGTCTTTTAGCTTCATTCAGTGACCACAGACAGTTGTCTCATTACTTATCTCTGCTCTGCTTCCTGCTCACCATCGTGGTTCTGTTGCAGACTCTCTGCTGTGAGTATGCCACCTTACATCTGCAACAGTGACTGTAATATAGAAATACAAACAGAAGACTGTATGAGATCATCAATGTTATGTAAGTCTCTAAAACCCTCTGGAGTACAATATCAATGAAAACATTACTCTGGAAAACCAGTTTTGTTTTCGTGTACATCAAAACTTAGCTGTTTTGATGTACAGCTAAGTGTGACAGCTATGCTATTTTATTCACATCAGCTTTCTATTAGTCAAACACTATTGTGACTCCATGGGTTATCCAGCAAATTATTTTGTTGGAATTTTACATATTAGGGAGGTAGTGCAAAGTAGAAATGGGGGATCCATTGTTCTGAAAATGTTTTTAAATAAAAGTTTCAAATGACATTCAAGATACTTAAATTTTTATTTTATCAGATGTTGATAGAATGTGCAAGAAACAGTTAATGCACTGGAGTATAAAATTGAGAACTGAAGGACATATTGTGATGAAATATTAAAAGAAATGTAATCTTTTTTATCACATAAATGTATTCCTTTACAACAATCTACCAACAACAATGCAAATTACAAAAACTCGCTGTATAAAAAAATGAAAAGAATTGTGTGTGATCCCGCAGTGGTTCAGATTATGTTGACTTCTCAGTCTCGCTCAACCCTGCAAGAAAACAAACTGAAAGATCTGACAAACAGGCTGGAAACACTGAACCAGTCCCATCACCTCCTGTTCACCCAGTATCCTGCTCTGAACCAGTACTGTCCCATCAACAACTCTTCCACTGGTGGTGAGTTTGTGTTCAAGCTTCAAAATTCTTGAAAATTCACTTTGTTGAAAAAAGAAAACTGCTAATAATGATTGAGAGGTGATTTTAAACTGAAGTTCAGAATTAAGTATTGACTTCTTCATTTGGCTAGATGAGGGCCTAACAGCCTGACTTAGGTTAAATTAAAAAAACTGCCAAATTGCAAAGTTGGACAAACTGTGTTTTCTTAGATGTCCTTGCAAATTCTTCAAGCTCATTTTTGATATTCATAAAAAATGTTCAGGTTGGAAGTTAAAACAAATGGTAATAGTGGCTGATGTTGACATCACAAACCTCAAATGTGATTTTCATATTTTGGTAAAGCGAGGTACTCTCTATTCCGATGCAGATTATCCAACCCAGATTGTGTTTTTGCACAAACTGTTTTATCAAGTCATGTATAATTTGCATAGTCATGGCAGTATAGCCAACAGACAGAACAAGAATTATATTTTAAAGAGTATCACTGTCAGTCAAAAGATATATGGTGGTAAATTTTAACGATTACTTTTCTTATCATTCACATTTGTTTATGAGAAATCTAAATAATTCCAGGCTTTATTGTACACTATGTAGATTACATTTTAACAGACTACAGATATAACACTCTAAATTACACATTCGTCCATTAATAATAAAAACTTAAATGATTGTATTCAAGGTTTTGTCATATTTTGAAGAATTAATCATTTTAAAATAAAATTTTAGTGAGAAACTGAAAGGCGTCTTTACCTAACTTTGATGTGAACTTTAATTCTTGATATAAAATGCCAAATATATGCATAAATAGTCAATAATTATGTCAAAGATAAAATAGTGTAATGATATGTTTTGAAAAGGGGAATTTAAAGGACATTCTAGATGGAGCAGGGGTCAAAATGAAATGCTTTCACAATGGCAGTATTAGAAATGCATGTAAATCTTCTGACAAAAAGTTTTAAAGCAGCTTATAACAATTTCTAAAGGTTTTTTTTTTCTCTGTGGGATTTTAACCTTTCAAACAGAGAGAAAGTGCAGACCATGCTTGATTGATTGGACACTTCAAGGAGAGAAATGTTTCTTCTTCAGTGAGGATAGAGCTGACTGGATCAGTAGTCAGTACCTCTGCATGTCACTGGGAGGCGCTGTGGCTGCAATCAAGACAGAGGAGGAACAGGTGTCTCTGACTCTTTCACTCTCTCTCTCTCTCTCTCTCAAAAAAAACTGATTTAGTTGCATTCAGTCACAAATTCAGTGGAAACCATCTCGGGTCTCATAGCTAAAACATCTTTTCATATATCTTTATAAGTAGGTTATTGGAGCTCTGTTGGCATTTTATGCATCTTCTGCACATTTTTGGGGTTACTGTGCAATAAGATGTTCCAGAGTTTATATATCCACAGGTTCAGCATGTGCATAAATAGCCAGGCACATATACATGCATAGCAGCAGCAGTGAGTTTGGTTAAGAATAGCTTTACGAAAACTAAAAGGAGTGGAGGAAGCTTAAGGTCATTGGAGGTTTAGTCTTTCATTAAATTTAAAGCTCATGTAACACAGATTACATACAGAATTTATTATCATAAGCCAGGTTAAAGTAAAACTGCTGAAGAAAATTAATTTGTCCCCGATGTTATCAACTTTTTTCTCAGGAGTTTCTATTTAAAATGGCCCAGAGCCAGAGCCATGGAGACTCATACTGGCTCGGTCTGAGGAGCAGTGCTGTGGACGGGACCTGGCAGTGGAGTGACGGCACTCCGCTGGAGAACAGACCACAGTAAGTGTGAAGACAGGGCTGAAGAGGCAGAGGAGTGTAAGAAGGGCATCAGAGGTTAGAAGCCAGCAGTTCTTTTTAAGCTTGTGACAGTTTGATTACATGTTTAAGGACAACTTGTCAGGTTACACAACATCATTGATGTGCACAATCTCTGACACTTTTAATCACATGCAACAAGCAGTTCCAGCCTCACAAATCCTTCATAGAAGGAGGGGGAGTCTCTGTAGTTTTCTATTCTGTCCTCACCACTCTCTCAGGAGCCTTCCAGTCTGCTGCTGTGCAGCTAACAGCTGTCAATATGCTCTCTATGGAGCATCAATAGAATGTGCTGAGGATGTTGGTTGGAGGGTGAATCTTCTTAATTCATTGCAGGAAGAGAAGACTCTGTTGAACTCATTTTATCAAAGATGTAATGTTCTGCAGTCCAGGATAGATTTCAGTATTCATTTGACCACCCAGGAATCAGAAGGATTTTAGTGCACATTTTTTTGTACATCATTGAAGTAAATATTATGATTTGTTTTTCTTTTGTTGGATTTAAATATGATTACCTGCCGCACATTCTTCTTAACTGATTGTGTTACAGCCCATAGACTTAAAAATGTTAATTATTCATAATCACAATATGCATGTGCAATATGAAAGAAATTCAAACATCTGTTTCATCCAGGAAAAGCCTCATTGTACTTGCATTTCAGTAAACATAACTAACGTCTAGAAGAAACTAGCAAACTAGCAAACTACCTTAGCAACAACATGAGAGAGATATGTTGATGTAGAGGTGGATAATGGAATATAAGGATTTTTTTTTTCTTGTCTCTGCAGGTTTTGGGAACATGAGCCAGATATCACAGGAGAGAGGAAGGAGCTCTGTGGTCGACTCACACCAGGAGACAACTATAGGAAGAGCTGGTTCACCTCCAGCTGCTCTGGTCAGCTGAGGAGAATCTGTGAGCGCAGACAAGCTTCCCTACAATGACCAGAGTCAAAGACTGTCTTTCATTATTATTATTTTTTTTTTATTTACCTCCTAAATCTTTTCTCTTATATATTAAGGTGTCTTAACATAAAAAAGAATATATTAGGGATCAGTTGTATTGTTCTACATTTTCTGTCACTGTATAAAGACATAAAAAATTCCTAGAAACGAGAAGCAAATACGAGGCTCATGTTTACGGGACAAATTAGAGTACAGTGAATTTATTTCAAAGATGTTTTTTGTTACTCTCATTTTGAGCACTTGTTTAAACCCTACTTATTCTTTCTACTTTTTTTGTTTTAATTGCTGATTTTATTTGTCATTTGTTCTCAAAGCTTTTGTTTTTTTCTTTATGATTTTCATAGTTTAGACTTAGAGTTTTCATTCTTCATTTTGTATCTCTGAATTGTATCTTTTTGTTGAAAAAAATATTACAAATAAAATTTTCCAAATATTACTCCCATAAAATATCAAAGGCTCTTTTATGTTTAAATTGACATTAACTACATTGTAATCTAAACAAATAAAATGGATCATTTTTGATTTGTTGTTTGAAATGTTTGTGAAACTCTTAGTTTCAATCTGATTAAAATAACTGTTAATAAATTGGTACATACTGTATATATATATATATATATATATATATACATTACACTAAATACCTCCAACGAATAAGGCAAGTCCTGAGAAGCCAGCTCAATGGCAAGAACAAAATCCGTGCGATAAACAGCTATGCCCTGCCAGTAATCAGATACCCTGCTGGAATAATCAGCTGGCCAAAGGAGGAGATAAAAGCCACAGATATTAAGACCAGAAAGCTACTAACCATGCATGGAGGGTTCCATCCCAAATCCAGCACCCTGAGACTGTACACGAGCCGCAAGGAAGGAGGCAGAGGACTAGTGAGTGTGAGAACCACTGTCCAGGACGAAACAACTAAGATCCATAAATACATCAGGGACAAAGCCTCAACAGACAATGTGCTCAGTGAATGTCTCAGACAACAGGGAACGGAGGTTGAGGTGCCAGAGACACCATCATGGGAGGACAAGCCCCTACATGGGATGTACCACCAGCAAATAACCCAAGTGGCTGATATCAGTAAATCCTACCAATGGCTGGAAAAAGCTGGACTCAAGGACAGCACAGAGGCCCTCATCCTGGCCGCCCAGGAACAGGCCCTAAACACCAGAGCAATAGAGGCCCAGATCTACCACACCAGACAAGACCCAAGGTGTAGGTTGTGCAAGGAGGCCCCTGAGACAGTCCAGCACATAACAGCAGGGTGCAAGATACTGGCAGGGAAAGCGTACATGGAACGACATAACCAAGTGACAGATATAGTGTACAGAAACATCTGTGCAGAATATGGACTGGAAACCCCGAGATCAAAGTGGGAAACACCCCCAAAGGTGGTGGAGAACGCCAGAGCTAAGATCCTGTGGGACTTCCAGATCCAGACAGACAAAATGGTAATGGCGAACCAACCAGACATTGTCGTAGTGGATAAACATCAGAGGAAAGCCGTTGTGGTAGATGTAGCAATAAAGTGATTGCAACATCAGGAAAAAGGAGCACTAGAAACTGGAGAAATACCAGGGCCTCAGGGAAGAACTGGAGAGGGCCTGGAAGGTGAAGACCACAGTGGTGCCTGTGGTCATCGGGGCCCTCGGGGCAGTAACCCCCAAACTGGAGCAGTGGCTACAACAGATCCCAGGAACAACATCAGACATCTCAGTCCAGAAATGTGCAGTCCTTGGCACAGCCAAGATACTGCGCAGAACCCTCAAGCTCCCAGGCCTCTGGTAGAGGACCCGAGCTCAGAGGATAAGAACCACCCGCGGTGGGTGAGAAGGGAATTTTTATATATATATATATATATATATATAATATATATATATATATATATATATATATATATATATATATATAATATATATATATATATATATATATGCATTATTTGTTTGTCCAGTAGATGGCAGTACTGCACTGAGAAGTACTTCTTACAGACTCCGTTTCCCAGCATGCTTTATGAGTGATTTCGGTTGCTGAGCAGAAAGAACAAGCGCGGATTAGAGCTGAGATTATATGAGAAGGTATTGTAAATGTACTTTTTCTAAAGAAAAGCAATTTAAAATTAACTTTGTTATTTAGAAATACCACCAGCGAATAAATTGAACTATATAAGAATGTGTTTTTCGTGTAAATGCTACGTGAAATAGTTGAATTTACATGTTTGAAGAGATTAGTGACCGCTGGTAACCAGGTTTAATCACAATTTACAAAATGTATCTCGTAGACCAAAAGTAATGGACAGGTTTAGAATCCGGTGGACTTTATTGTCTTTAGCAATTTTGTTCCACTGTTTTTTTTAAATGTCATTTAAATAATAACATAGAAATTACAAAATGTGTCATTTTCTCTGCCGAGAATGGTGCATATTATTCTTTGCCGAGAATGGTGCATATTTTTCTTTGCAGAGGGTAAAATAAATCTCAGTTTCTTGTACGTAAAGCATTTTAAAATCAGTTTATACAATTTATAACACTATCAAATGCATACAATGCACGCAATTTTAAACACATCTTAATCTGTATTTTTTTTGATTATTTCTCTTTCTACATCATTGTTTTGTTTGTTTTAGTTTTATCTATAAATTGGAAAACTGAGAACTGTGGTAAACCCATCTTTTCAAACATTGACACATTTTAAAATGAATTCTCAATAAAAGTATTTAATACACTCCGTTACTCAGAAATTTAACCTCCAATGTTGACTTTTTTTTAACATTCGACCTGTGGAAGGTTATTTCTGGAAATCATTGTCTTCTGTGCTATCCTGTGTCCTCAAATGTAGAGTGCACATTGGCCAATAGTGTGATCCCATTCGGTCAAATACTGAAAATTAGTTTATAGTGTAAATAAGATGTATTAATAATCTGGTAAATAAATTCATAGGTAGATAATTGTATGACTAAATTCATGATAAGAATGGTTAAAAAAATATGGGATTTGAAATATGAACAGAATGGAACATCTGTATTATAAACTATCTTTGTCATTTTTTCAGATATATGACCGAGTGAGCGCTCTTAGCAGCAAACTGAATTTTTCCGGTAACCTTGTCAACAAGATTTTAGGCGGTTAAGACAAAGTGAACGGCTCGAGAACTCAGAGTGCACTTTGTACGCTTTATACATTAGAAAACTCTCGTTTTTGTAAGTATCTATCTGTTGGAAAAACACATGAGCTTGTGATGTTTTTTTTTTTTTTGGTTGATAAAATATGGAACAATGTACATAATTTTTGAGTGTAAGATGTGATATGTTTAGTTGCTAGTAATGTAGTTTTCCGTTGTATTTCAGTTAAAAAACGGTCTGAGTGCATCATTAAAATGAGTGTATTAGCTAGTAATGTATTTTTATTTCTGTTTTATTACAGTTACTAGAATGTTTTGAGTGTTGCATTAAGATTTGTATTAGCTCCTGATGTAGCTAAATCAATTTATCCACAAAAATCTTGACTGAAAACGTGGTTGTTGTTCACTGACAAGGTCACGTGTTGCAGACAGCACAAGTACACCTATGTTAATTTCATTCATTCATTTTAAGACAAAATTGGTTTGTTTTCAATCTGAAAAATAAACATAGGATTATGTAATTATTGTTGACATTAAGTGCTTATCACATATGCCAGAAATTCTCTTCCTAATTTGCATTGATTGCATTTTGCCTGTCATGTGATAAGAACATTATTGTTCTTATAATCATGCTGTTGAACTTGTGTTGATATCCAGAGGCTGAAAATGTCTGTCAATATTGAAGAGAAGATTAAAAACTACAGGACAGCTCCTTTTGATGCCCGGTTCCCTAACACCAACCAGACCCGGAACTGCTACCAGAACTACTTAGGTAAACAAGAGATTGTGTTTTGTTTTATTAGATCCATTTAGGATCACTAGAATGTTTTTCTTAGGTAATTTCTGTATTTATTTTGAGATAGAATTACATTTGTTTAAAGTATAAAAAAAGAAGAAGCTTTATTTCAATGTGTTGATGTCTCTTTCTGTTTACACTTGGAATTTGCACTGTTGGGTAACAGTATATAAAACTAGAAATGCTAGCGAGAGTATAAGCAGCCAGTATTTATATTATAATTTAGTCATCTGAGCGCATACCAAGTATTTGATTTTAAAAAAAAGATAAAAATGTAACTCTTTGATATTAAAAAGAAAAAAACTTCTTAATATATTGGAGGGAAATCCTGCCTCAAGTCACGATGCAGCTCACAGAAGAGATGGTTACATAATCTGTTATATTTCTGGTGCAGATATGCTCTACAAAGGAGAGGAGAGATGGAGCTGTAGGAGCATAAATAAAATGCTGGTTCCGTCTTAGACTGATAGTAAAGCTTCTTCATTGAAACCTTTGAAAGCAGCTAAATGTTCCCTGATGAGACCTGGTGCTGTTTCACTGTCACTTTAACACATATATGACCTGTAATTTACATTCTGGACTTTCAGTCACAAAATTTTTTTTACCAATTCTACTTTTTTTTTCTTTTTTTTTTTTTTTTTTTTTTTTTACAAATAATACCAATAATAAAATTTTGGCATTTCTGTTCAATAACTACCTACATATATTTAAAATTTTGCACAAAATATGTCAAAACCCCAAAAAGCTTCAAAACATTTCAGAAAAATGTAAGAAATTGTATGCCATTTGTTCTACAGAGAGATTATTTCTTATCAGTTCTGTTATGGAGGATATCACTTGTGCATCCATTCTAAAGCAGTTTTTCCAGATCAAAAATGTTTCAGATTGTGCTAAATTTATTGAGTCATACATTGTAGTTGTAGCATAGGATAAATATGCACTGTAATTAAAACTAGGGTAAGATTAAAGTTTCAGAGGTACTCAGTCACACAAATTATTACTTACCACTCTTACTGTTCACCTTCTGCTTCTTAACTAGAGTATTTTTTTTTTACTGCTTTCATTTTCCCTCAACAGATTACCATAGATGTAAGAAAGTTCTATCTGCTAAAAATCAGAAGACGACTCCTTGTGAGTGGTACCGCAGGGTATACAAGAGTCTCTGCCCTATGGCCTGGGTATGTGTGCCATGAAATGGATTAACAGAAGAAAATACAAATAGTTGTCAGTGTTAAAGATTTGCAGCTACCAACTTAAAGTTATGTTACTAATCCAACAGGAATCACAAGATTTTATTTCATCTTCATAAAATTAGCTGCCTGAATGTTTTTTGTTGCAAGAGACATGTTTTGCAGATGTCTCTTGTATCCCAAGCACTTTGCTCTCTTTTACCATTTGAACCTGGTATGTAATTTAGATGTACTTTAAATAAAATTAATAAATCCAAATTTATGATTTCAAAAGTAAATATTTTGGGATTGTTTTGTCCTTTCAGTGTGATATTTTCATCTGTTTGTAGTTTGATTGCCTCACCTTGTTTCCTTCACTTGTTTTACAGGTTCAGAAATGGGACGAACAGAGGGAATCAGGGACTTTTGCTGGGAGAATTTGAAGGCAAATCGTTCATTGTTTCTTTTCTCTACGAGCTTAATATGAAGCATTCCAGTATTTCTAAATGCAAAGCAACTAAATAAAATACTGTTACTGTGAAAATGTGTTTTCTTTCTTTGTGTATTTATTTGTTACCAGCAGGTGGTTAGATCTGCTTTATTTTCAGATTGGAAAACTATTAGGGCATTTGATTTTTTTATCCATTTTTTATTCCATGTTATTTCAGGTTTTGACCTTTTATTTGCAGCAAAATGAGCAATTAAGAAAAACTAACCACTTGTAGTCAATATATGTGAGGGTCCAGAAAAGTAAGTTATTTTTAAAAAATTAGTTAATAGGTACTGGAGTGAACTCAAAAAAGTTCAATTTGTGACACAAAAAGGCTCTGAACGCTTTAGAGGTCCAGACCTCTAAAGCTTACCAAGTTTCCAAACTGAGAAAACGTTTAACTCGAGCTGGAAATAAAATCCTGGTAATGCTACTACAACATACATAATCACCTCTTGATTAATATATATGTGTATATATTTTTTCACATTAAAACCACAACCTTAAATTTATTGGGATTTTATGTGGTACAATACAAAGGAGCACATAAATCAGAAATGGAAAAAGTGATGCATGCTTTAAAGAAAGGAAATTGGAGGGAGTTCTTCAACAGTAACAGAAAGTGTGGGCACAGTTTATCTGAAGAAAAACTGAGTTAAAAGCAGCCCAAGAAAACAGTTTCTGCAACAGACTGGAAAATAGGAAGGACATTTACCTTCCAGCAGAGCAACAACCCTAAATATGCAGCCAGACCTACAATTAAACAGTTCTAGTGAAAAGCATTGCCATGTCTTGTAAAAACTAACTTAAAAGCAAAATATTCTGTCCAGCTGAAAATTTGTGATAAAACCTAATAATATATAAATGTTTGAACGCAACTGACTGAGCTTATACAATATTACTAATGGATCAAAACTGGCCTCTAGTGTGAAAAGTTGGTACTTTTATTCCAAAAGACTGGAAGCTGCAAATCAATATTTTGTGCAAAATACTGATTTTTTTCTTTTCTTTATTTTAATTAATAATAATATAATTTAATTTTCCTTTGAAACAATCTGCAGAATAATAAAAGTATGAGGCAGGAAATAAGTAGTTCTGGAAGGTAGCCTATATTTTCAACTGATTATATAGTATATTTTGTTAGAAAGGCTAAGATGATGACTTACTTTTTTCTAAAGGGACAATATTTTTAAATACAAAATGTGTAATTAACTTGTAAAGAATATGTTTTCCAAGCCTATACTTGGCTTGACTTTAGTGACTAAATTTCTATATCAATAAAAAAAAAAAGTCATAGCTATAAGCCAAAATACTTTAAGGAATCATTTTATATCTGAAGCATCCTCTAAGCTGCATCACATGACAAGATGTCCCATAAACGGGCGAGTTGCATCAGCAGCAGCGCCAAGGTCAACTTCTGGAAGCATCATGGAGGACACCGGAAAGAGAGTGTATGTGAGGTAGAGAGAGACAGAGAAACGCAGAGAGAGTGGGGGGATACAAATACATCCTCACGACCCACTGTGACACACCCCATCCCCCCCTCCCACGGGATGCGCATGCGCCTGTTGTGACCAACTAACCGAGTAAGGGCTTCGGCCATGATTGGACGCGGAGGCCTCACAGGATGCGGTGATGCTGCGCTGGAGTCATGATTTTTTTTTATACAGCAAAAACGGGGCGGGACTACCTCACGACACGCTGGCGTTGTCGTCTCTCATAGGCCGAGCTGAAACGGGAGAAATAGCGTGTGGTTACGTGCCTTGTTCCTCGCAACCCCCTGCAAGGGAAGGATTGTGTGAGGCAGTGCTACCAAAAAGAGACCTGCTGCAGCCCGTAGAGGGTTTCCAGCAGTCACGACAGGTGAGTCTCCTCTGACTGAGCAGTCTGGGATAATATTTGGGATCTTGGAAAGCCTCAGCTGGGGACAACTCTGTCGCTTTGCCTCTATTTGACTGCAGAAGTAGATGTTATCAACAATATGTTTCCTTACCTTAAACCTACCTTTCTTAGAAGACTTTACCAGGATTTATTACGTTTTGGGGGGTTTTTAAGGGAGAAGAAGGCGGAGACGTTTTTGGTACCACGGACAGCGACTAACCAGGTTTTCCATGTTTTGCAGCTGGCGGTAAGGCAGAAGCACCACCTGACTCTTCCTCCCTCTCCTCCTCCTCTCTGCATCCTGCAGATTCCAAATCTTAGAAATCACCCTTGACAACCGTGAGAGCATCTAAAGCTTCTTTGGGAAGATGGAAGGCCAGGCAAGTGATTTTATTTTTAAACTTATTGTGTGATCCTTAATTAAATGAAGGATATCCGGCCTCTGATTAGTATAATGTAAGATCAAACTAAGTTAAACTCGAGGAGCTTGTTGATGTCATATCTTAGTTATACATGTCTTTCTAAAAAAGTTCAGGCTCTAAGCAGATTTGTGTGGGTGGTAATGTATGCCATAATGCTTCCATGAGTCACTCATTTCTGCACATGCTGTGGATGTTGTGTGAGTGGAATAGCAGGCGTGTTTCCATGAAATAATAGCTTATGAGTGGATATTCAATAATGCAAAAGCCTGATTTTGCTGATGAATTTAGTGATGATTTTTGTGAAATATTCTTGATTCCATAAGTTGTCATACAATGAATAAAACATGTGAAGTTTTGAGATATAATTCACTGCTAACATAGCACACCCACTTTGTCTTTGACACTTCTTCTTTAATCACATAACTACAGGATCTTTTGTTCCCTCACTTTTGGCTTTGTGCGTGTGTTTCTGCATGCACATATGAATTCAGTGTCAGCATGACTTGATCAGATCTATCCTTTGGGATTTATGAAAAGGACACCTGGGAAATAGAGAAAGTCGGATTCAGTAGTTCAAATATGCTATACAAGCTAAAAAAAAAAACTAATTACAGTGTTCTCTATGAATAAGGCTTCAAAATTACTTGAAATAAATCACAGAAACAAACAAACTACATGCAAACTGTGGCTGAATGAATATTTTGTAGATGTACCTTTTTGCTACTTTACAGTTGCATGTTCATTCTGCATCATTCTTCTTTACCATCTAAATCACAAAGGATTTAGTCTATCACTAAACACAATTTTTCAAATTTTGCAACAGATTAATTCACAGTATCAGTTTGATATAGGTCTGGACTTGACCATTCCTCAGACATAGAATCCGACCTCTAGCAGGTTATCATCCAGGACTGCAATATGTTTCTGTATTTCAATTAATCTTTTCTATAACTCTTATGAGCTTTTCTGGCTCTGCTGAGGCCCACAGCATGATGCAGCCATGTTTCACAGAGGGGAAAGGTGTGTTTCAGCTTATGTGCAGTTTTACATGTATGTCAAAATGTTCAGCTTTGGATTTATCTGACATCTGAATGTTCCTCATGTTTTCTATGTCACCAGCATACCATTATATAGTTGCATTGAATTTTATTTTAGGGGTATCAGAGTAAAGTTTGTTTTGTAAAAAAAAAATATATATATTTTTTTGCTTTACTGTTTTTCACAGTTTTTGATCAACTAATTGTAATGTTTGAAAAAATAAAGCTTAGTTTATTTAGCTGCTGTAATAAAGGATTTATTCATACTGTTTACCTGCTAAAAAGATTTTCTGTAGGGTTTATTTCAACATCTTTCATTTTTGCAGGATCCATTTTGTCCTTGAACTGCTTCTGATTATTAAATTCTATTTTCCATGTTCTAATTATTAGCCCGTCTGATGCTTGTTCCATTATTTCTAATCACAGAAACCATGACCCAAATATACATATAATTGTGGTCCAATTGTGATTTCTTGTTGATGCATTATCTCACATAAAGCGGTTTGCTTTTGTGATTTTCACAGTATTATATGCAGCTTGCCTGTCCTTGAGAAAATGTGTCAATGCATTGACATGCTGGTCAATATCTGGCATTACAAACCCAATGTTACCAGGAGGTGTGTGATGGGAGGGGCATGGGACTGCCTTCAGGGACAGATGAATAATGGACATTGTAAATAAACTGTAACAAGCATTTAAGTTTGCTAATGTGTGAAGACACATAGATTATCAAGAACTATTTAAATCACTGTTTTGTTACCAAAAGTAACAAAGAAATTATTATAGATATAAATGGATATCTGGCTGATTAATAAATAGTCTGTGTGTTCTTACTTAGAACACATTGTAGTTCTGTGCCTTTTTTTTCTTTCTTGGATAAACCAGAGTTAAAGGGAGGGGCACGTCTGCAGCACTTTCATTAAGTAAAACAAACAGCTGTAAATTTTTAGATGTACTTGTGTTTTATTGGTGTGGCAGTAAGACAATCAGCATCAGCCTTATTTTTGTGCTTTCTTGACTTCCTTAATGTGAGTAAGGTCCATGATTTCTGGATTTAATGCATCTCACCTTATTAATTTTGTGTGTGTAAGTGTTCTCGCACCAATGCAAACGTAAAGTTGCTCTGTCGTTTAAGGAGTCTTACATGGTTTTATTTTATGAGACCTGTGTGCATATTGCCTAGTTGCAGCTAGGCGTCAATTATCCTGCGTCAATAAAGCAGCAGTTTCCAGCTTCGGGCAAGAATGTGTTAGGGGGAAGGTTGGGAAACTAATGACAAACAAACACAGATTTAATTTATTAAATGGCAGGTTGCTGGTTTAAATAGTTTTTAATGTATGGGTTTCAGGGCAACTAGTGTCATTTTAGTCTGTTGTAGCTAAATCTGAACAAACTTAGATGACTCATTGATCTGTATGTTAGGACTGTAAGACAAGATGTGTGATAACATGGTTTCCTTAGTAACGCAATGACTGTTCAGCTAATCTCCCTGCTGCAACAGGGCACTGCTGCTGAAAGTTACTGAATATGAAAGAAGCATTAAAGATTTTCGTCCTTTTGGCAATTTTGAACCAAGTGGGAATATATTCTTATTTCCAGTGAGTACAAATTGGTTGAATTTCAACTGAGTTTTACGGATAGAAAATAACCAATTCAAACCCTGAAATTTGTGTGAAACATTTTAGATTATAGGAATAAAAAAAATAGCAAAGTAACAGTGATTTGACCTACAAATTTCCTGTTGATTTTTGTTAGAGACATTTGAGTGTACTGAGTCACTGTTACATGACAAAAAAAAAAAAAACAGAGATAAATGCAGTCAATCAAGAAGAAATAAAGAAAATAAAGGCAGAGATCCTCCTCATTCTAAGTCAGTTGAGTCTTCACTGGATTAAGTTTTATGTGTTTCCTACTGTGCTGGCGGCTCTCTCCTCACTACATCTGTTCATTAAATATACAGTGATGTTGAGGGCTTCAGACAGATGATGAATGATTGGTTTCTTTGCCAAAAGGGGCCTTAATAATAATGTGAAAAATTTATTTATGGCCAAAACAAAGTCCATGCAGTTGTATTTATTGGCAGCTTATGTAAAGATATGCAGCAACAAATATTATTATTTATGGTGCAGAACATATTTATTTTTTTATTCAGTCTTTCATTTATGTGTTTATTGAGTGAGTTAAAATTTGTCCTGTTAGGAAATAATTATTTTCAACAAAAATAGAAGTTTTGTCAGTGAAAAATGGTTAAAGTGACCTTTAAAGTCACATTAATTGAAACAATAATAGACATCCAGATGTTAGAACTTTCTCACTGCAAATTTGCAGATTCTTACTGATTGAAATACATAATTCAATCAAACAAGAGAATAACCGAATAGAAGCCTGCTTATTTGGACTCTGCAGAAAGATGGCAATGAGCCATCTACCTGCAGTGGACACACCCAAAGCTTTTGAGGTGAGGGCGGGAGTATCGATCACTTTTATATGTCTCCTAATTCCCCAGGGAACTTTCTAGCAAACAAACAAGAAGAGGAAAGAGTTGAACAATGTTAAAAGCACAATATAAACAACAGACAAAAAATATTTTATTTAACTTGGGATCAAAAAAGAATCTGGAAAATATTTTTCCTGCAAAATGCTGGGAAGCCTGATTTCCAGGAGAAAACATGAAAGATGTTTGTTATTAGAGCAGATTTATTAATTATCCTTACCTAAAAAGAAAACTGAAATCTGACCCCTTTATCACATCACCCATCAATAAAAGTAATTTTGTTTTTCAGTCTAAATTAAGTAAAGTAACTCTTTCAGGCTATAAATCTGCACAGAATTTCAACTGTGTATGTTTTAGGAAAGAATTGAAATATTATACTTTCATCTCAGGGTATTGTTCACTTTCATTAATCTCAGCCTCACTATTAAGGTCAAAGGTCAGGTTCTCTGACCTTAAGAGAGTCTGATATTAAATATGCAAAGTGTATTTTTAATATCCTTCAAGTCTGGGGTTCACAGCTCTCAGCCAGACAATCTTCCTTGTCTTCAGGAGTCTTTTTCTTCTGCTGCAGCTTCTGTCTGAAATTTATTGTCATTTCTGCCTCCAAGCAACCTCAACGGGGGAAGAGAGCTTTTGTGTTCCAATTGAACTTGTATAAAAACAGCATCCCAGAAGTCATGAAAAGTCAGGGGCCTCCAAGTTCAATATCTCACATGGCTGTCCCACATTTATTGCTTCAAATTATGAAATTGCTAATGGTTCTACTAGCTAGCACCACATCATCAAATCCCATTTCCAACCAATCTACTGGTGCTTTTTGCTTAGTTTAGATTGGACCTAAAAAGTCCAACCTGACTGATTATATAAAGGTTTTCATCAGCCCCTCTGTTCTTTCCTCCCCAACTGATTCAGTTTGGCCAATACCCTTTACCTGAAACAACTGCAATGCTAATCTTGTTTGACCTTATTCTGATATTGCTAAAGAAGAGGCAAAAGATCAGCAGACGTCGACCCACACCGCTGCCGTCTCATATAGCAGCAGCCAGTTCTGCCCTGTCAGCATTCTCTGTCTTTCAGCTACAGACTTTTTGCTGAAACATCATTCAGTCTGGCCCAGGCACTAAATCACATGAGATGCATTATTTATTAATGCTATATGTTAAGAGTCATTTAATAAACCTTTGATGGCCTGAGTTGCATAATAACATGGCTTTTGCTTTTGTCAGAAATGTGTACTTGACTTCAAGAAGGGAGTTTACCCATGGACTTTTTCAACCCATAATGTAATGTGATTCCATTTAAAAATAATTAAAACAACAAAATTTAAGTCTAACCAAATGCCACCAAACAATTTGATTTAACCCTGTTCCCCTTGGATTTAACTGAAAATTTATTTTAATGTTCTTTTATTATTTGCCATTGTTTATTGAGGTCTAATCATAAATTAATTGTTCAAAATTATATATGTAGAAATAATACACTTTCTTTTCTGTTTTGTGGAAAATAAATTATCTATAAGATTAGCTACATACAAAATATCACAAAACGTTCAAGCGTTTCAGTTTTAATAAAAAATGTAATAACTTAAAAATTGTCTTGAAAATCAATTGGAATACATTCCATCTTTTTATTACTTGTTTTTGACCTTCCAGCTTTTGAAAATGTTCATGATCTTATCATGAACATTTGGCACCAAAGTTGTGTTTATTTTGACTACAGTGGTGCCTATTTATTTATTGATATGGAAGTATTTGTATTATTATTTGTGTTAATGCAGCATTGTATTTTCTTCATATATTTAGTGTTCTGAGAGGTAAAAAAGAAAAAAAGAAGCAAAATAGAATGGAATAATTTCTTTAGAACTCTGCAGAAGTCCAGTAAGCATTCAAACATCTTGTTGTCATGAAGTTTGATGTGGTTGTCTTTAATTACACAGATAAATCAATGATATTAAAGGGGCCAGGATGGCCGTGGAAACAAATTTCATCTGAATTATGTTTGAAAAAAGACTGAGTCATGAATGCTGTGGATCACACAGACACTGAATCAACTTGATCATCTTTATCTTGTTGCAAAGCTGTAAAAGAAAAATTAAACATTTGTTTTTATAATTTGACTTATTTTGCATTTTACTTGTATTTTGTGGATGATCCTGTATGTATTAGCAAATAGATGTAAGGATGCCAAGCTTTAGAGGGTGAGTTCAATGCTATTTTGCTGAATCACTGATCTGTTTGCCATCAGCATCCCAGTTTATTGCATCTAACTTACCTCTGTATTGTACAATCCCATTAAGATCTCAGATTTCATATTTATTTATTTTTGCATCAACCCCATCAACCTCAATTATCCTTCTTGTTCCCGTTCTTTCCATCACTCTGCCCCTCAGGGAAAGCAAGTAACGGGCTATCTCTTGTTCTCGTTGGGCACGGCTGTCATCGGCTCTCTGCAGTTTGGTTACAACACAGGAGTAATCAATGCTCCGGAAGAGGTTGGTGAAGTTTACTACCAAAATACTAACAGAAATTTTGCTTTTTTGCATATTCAGATTAAATTAGGCAATACATTTTCTCAGTGCCAAACAACAACAAAAAATACTATTATGTAAATATTTTCAGTTTAATGATTATTTTAAAAAAAAGATAGGTACACTTTTCCCTTGAATTTACTGTAATTATCTTTCTACTGCTTCACAAATGCTATAAACAAAAGACCTACAAATCATCCACATCTTAAGTGAAATGGATCTAAACATTTAAATTTTCAGGCCAGTTGATGCTAACTAACAGTGTAGCTACTGTGTGTTCTGCTCTGCATATTTATGTACGTCTCTAATCTAATTTTCAGGTCTTGTAGTTTTATTTTGCAGGAAATAAATCAGTATGAAGTGCATTTCTACTGGGAGTTTTATCCTTTGAACTTTTGCCCTTTTTCATTTGTGGCAGGTTTTTTCTTGTTCGCTCTTTCATACTTATTAACTGTTATCCTATCACAGAGATCACACTTTATGACTCAGTCATTATAAATTCTATTTATATGACGTGCAAGACAAAATAAATTCAGTAAAGTTTATGTAGTTAAGTCCTAAAGTTTCTTTCTTGAAACTTTAGGACTGAAGATGTTGTATTTTTGAAATATTTATGCTGTAAAAACATTCAATCTGGCAACAGGAGCTAAAACAGTTTTTCTCTTTTATAATTAACCCAAATATAATCACATTTTATCTGTACTATTAAACTTAAATTAGCCAACAACTAGCTCTATTTATGAAAAAATATTAAAAATATGTTTGATTGAAACTGATATGTCAAAACCAATTAGTTTTGGTTGTGGAACCACTAAATCGAGAAGAAGAGAGAGAAATGCTAATCTTAACCTATAAATCTACTTTTTATTTAGAAACTACGGTCGTTCTTCAACCAAACCTGGATGCAGCGTTACAATGAGCCCATCAGTTCGGGGGTTTGTACCATCATCTGGAGCGTCTCTGTTGCCATCTTTAGTGTGGGCGGCATGGTGGGCTCCTTCAGTGTGGGTGTCATGGCCAATAGATTTGGCAGGTAGGGGATAAAATTTCATGTTAGCGTTTAAAGATTTGAGAGTCCTCAGCCAGAAATTATTTCACGTACGACTAGTTTATGTTTTTTGTCCATTTAATGTTTGTGTTTTTTTACTCTTCCTCTCCTCAGACGGCGCTCCATGTTCCTGGTGAACATTCTGGCTGTGTTTGGAGGCCTCCTCATGGGGTTCTCCACCATTAGCTCCTCCTATGAGATGGTGATTGCGGGTCGTCTGGTCATTGGCCTGTTCTGCGGCCTCTTCACTGGGCTGACTCCCATGTACGTGGGAGAGGTGTCACCAACACCTCTTCGTGGAGCATTTGGCACTCTGCATCAGCTTGGGGTGGTAGTGGGCATCCTGATTGCTCAGGTTCGAAACTTTACTCACTTCTAAATACTCAAGTTATTATAATTAATGACTTTCCTCTATTTATTTTTAAAATAATTAGATTAAAGCTCATATATAAATACTGTAAAGACACAATTATACAAGACACAAGGCAGCAACAAATATCAAAAGCAATGATGAATGATGAATAGTTTGAATGGACTTTATTGACTTTATTGTTTGCAGATGCAAAATCAAATGTATTTTAAATTCACTTAAAAACAAATCAATGATGGCTTTTGGTAGATTATTCAACAATTTAGTAACATAAATAAATAATCTTTCAAGAAAGATTATGAATCACATGATTCATTGCTGTCAGCTTAACCACATAAAATCAAATTTGTTCTGCTGGTGTGTCTTTTTCTTTTAGATCTTTGGTCTGGAGGTTCTGTTGGGTTCTGACAAGCTGTGGCCCCTGCTGCTAGCCCTCACTGTGGTCCCTGCTGTGCTGCAGTGCATCTTGCTGCCATTTTGTCCTGAGAGTCCCCGTTTCCTTCTGATCAACCTTAAGCAAGAGGAACAAGCACGCAAGGGTAGATGCTAATAGATTACTGCTTTTACTGCTTCTACATGCAGTATTAATGGAGGATTGGTCGCTCCATTAAAACCCAAAGCTGGTGAGATGTTTGCGTACAGATCTGAAATTGCAATTTCATTTTACTCTAAATCTGTAAATAATGGAAAATCTTCTACAATTGTGTATTTGACTAAATAGCATCACTTTGCATTGTTGGGGATCCACTGTTCACATTTACAGTTTTTCTGCAAGCCTTTGTTAAATACAGGTAGATTTTATCTGTAGTGCCATCTACTGTTTGAAATAAGAACTGTGGATCATCAAATTGCCTTTCTTTCTTTAAATAGAGCTCCTGAATGAAGGTTTAACCACAGCTTCAGATGCAGTGATTTTCTGTCACTGGTGTGGTTGTGGCTGAAGAGAGAATAACTGGGACCTGATGAAAGAAGAGTCATTTGAGAGCTGTAAGAGCTCTTCTGAGGGAACCAAGCCAAACATAGTAAATCAAAAAATAAAAACTGGATCTCTCACTGTTATTGCAGATTGCATGCACAAACTGGACGTGATGTTTGTCTACTTGTATTTGGAGAAACCTGTTTAAAAAATCTGGAGCAGAATTGGAATGAATAGAAAACAAAAAGGAAGCCATAAATGGAGTAAGTAGTGGAGCTTTGTGAATTTGTTCAAAACACAGGCTGGAAGGAGACTTAGCATATGCTGCTAGAAACACAGGAGGTTAGACATGTCAGGAAGCTGTTTTTCCCCCATCATTTTAAAACACTCTTTGCTACTCAGAAGTTCACTTCTTCTACTTCTGTCAAAACTTGTTTTATATAACTCTCTCTTCCAAAATCAGTCCATCTCCATCAGAAGTGACTCATCCTGCTATATAATTCTGTTGACAGCTCTGGTTCGTCTCCGTGGCACGGAGGATGTGAACACAGACCTCCAGGAGATGAAGGAGGAGAGCGCCAAAATGGCGATGGAGAAGAAGGTGACCATCGCTGAGCTGTTTCGCTCAGCGACCTACAGGCAGCCCCTCCTCATCGCCGTCATGCTGCAGCTCTCCCAGCAGCTATCGGGAATCAATGCTGTGAGTGCGGCGAAACATTCTGACATGGTCACACTTTGTAAACACACAGCTGCGCTGTTGAATATCACACTTGTACAAGATATTCAACTATTGACATCATAGCCAAAAAATAATACAGTTGCCGTTTTTTTCAACCATAAATACACAAAGTACAGACATGACATTACGTCACAGGACAACATGAAAAAATCAAGAATAAATCAGAATAGGAAAACAAAGGAATATCTGAAAAAGTTCCCATAACGTGAGTTCAACGTTTTTATGAGAATTATTTTTTATTTTATTATTTATTTTAGTTTTCTGTCAGAGATTACGGTTTATGAATAAAAAACAACATTAAAAGCCTGTTTCTAAAATGTATAAATTGCATTTTAACCACAATTTTCTTTTTTCTTTCATCTCTCAGGTGTTTTACTACTCCACAGGGATCTTTAGCTCAGCTGGAGTGAAGCAACCCATCTACGCCACAATAGGAGCTGGAATTGTCAATACTATCTTCACTGTTGTTTCTGTAAGTGACTCAGCAAATGCTTTATTTCCTGCCCACATTTGGGTTCACTCTACAGAGAATCACAGTCTCCTTCTCTGTCCTTCAGCTCTTTCTGGTGGAAAAGGCTGGACGAAGGACTCTCCATCTCCTGGGATTGGGAGGAATGGCCGTCAGTGCCCTGGTCATGACAGTCTCCCTCCTGTTGGTGGGGCGATGCACAGATATTACCAAATATTTATGCACATAGACAGACAGACAGCAAAAATACAACCTTTTTACCAAGTATTTTTGGCATATTTTACAGTATAAGTATCTTAGCACATGCAAAATAAGACAAAACTTAGACTTAACTTCACCAAGATATAGAAGCTTGTTTTAAGTAAGTGATTCCTTACTGTTGATAAATAGTACTAGTTCCACTGGAAAATTATTTTACTTAGTAGAAGACATTTTTTTCATCTTATATGTGAAATAAGATGACAGTGGAACTAGTACTCTTTATTGATATTCAAGAATTAGTGACTTAAAACAAGCTAGTGTGGCTAGATGAAAAGTTACTTGTGAATTAGTTTTGTCTTATTTCAAGTGTAATAAGATATTTGCACTAGAAACAAAAAAATACCTTTGTGATTTTTTTGTTTTTACATTGTAGATAGTTTGAATGGACTTTATTGTTTTACTTTCACATAATTTAGTTGCAGTTTCAGTTTAACTATGAACTTCTGCCATAGTTTAATGTCTTTTTGTCATAATGTTTGGTTTTAGGTTGACATAATACTGAACACAGTTCCTGAAATGAGAAATAACTTAGTTACAAAGAGTCATGGGAGACAATTAGAGCTGTGTATTCCGCAGCAGATGCTCTCTTTATCATTAGCTTCTAATTGACTTTTCCATCAGTGAATCTCTCATGTGTGTTTCTGTCTGATCATTTCCTCTTTCTTCCCACTTTCTGAGCAGAAGGACATTGCAGCAATGAGCTACGTGGCGATCCTGGCTGTCATGCTTTTTGTGGCTATGTTTGAACTGGGCCCGGGTCCCATTCCATGGTTCATTGTGGCTGAGCTTTTCTCCCAGGGGCCCCGTCCTGCGGCCATGGCTGTAGCAGGATGCTGCAACTGGACAGCCAATTTTCTTGTTGGAATCAGCTTTCCTAAACTTGTGGTAAGAAAAGAGAATGCTGCCCTGATTGGTTACATTTACTTTACACTTCCAGTGTTTCCATTTTTTTTGTTTCTGACTTGATTTTGAGCACATAAATCTTTATTTCATGCAAGATTATATGAGTTTAGTTTTGTTTACTCTGGGGGAAAGGAGGTTAATCACAATGCAAACCACAAAATCTTAGTATTTTTTTGTTTAATTTCTAATGCAAATTTATTAGCTCACTTGAATTTCAGACTAACCAAACTCACAAGTTAGGTTGTTATTATTTACTGCAGTGCATCTAGTTTGCACTGCAGTAAATAATTCCTTGATATTGATTTTAAAAAGTACTAGTTTCACTGGCAGATTTTTTTTTCACTTATAAGAAGACATTTATTCCATGTTATATAAAAATAACTTGTCAGTGAAAGTACGACTTTTTATCAATAGTTAGAAGTTATTTACTGAAAACAAGCTACCATATCTTGCTGAAAAGTTACTTGTGTGATAGTTTTGCCTAATTTCTTGTGTACAAAGACATTTTCACTAGAAGATAGTGAAAATTACTCTGTAGGATTTTTCAGTGACGTTATTCTGATTTTCCTCTTGTTTCTCCACAGGAGTGGTGTGGACCCTGGGTGTTCCTCATCTTCACTGCCTTCCTCATTATCTTTTTCATCTTCACATTTATCAAAGTCCCAGAAACAAAGGGAAAGACATTTGATGAGATCGCCCGTGAATTTGGCGGCACTCTGCCTCCTGCTACTTCTTCCGCTGAGGATCCTGGTGCCACTTCCAGCACTGCCGTAACTCTTCAAGCCTCTTCTCCTGAGAAAGAGAAGGTCCCACTGGTGGAGGCGCCGGCAGCACCTGCTGCAGCACCTGCTGCAGCCCCTCCTGCAACCGCCACTCCCGCAACCGAAACCACACCCCTTAAAGATAAATCCGGCGCACAAGGGGAGCAGGTGTAGACAGGTTTCCGACTGGTGAGAGAAAGAAATTAACGGAAGAATCACAGAGTACAAACATGTTGAAACAGAGGAATCAGTTTCAATCTTTCTATCCAACTTTATGGTACATTCCTGAAATCAGCTGCATCCATTTAAAGGGTGAGTCAAGGTCAATGTGTCTCAAGTCACGATGATACTCAGATCTGGTTACTTGAAACTAAAACATGGGTCAAAAATGTGCAGCAAATTTCTTCCTTTATGCAGTTTATAAGCAGGGTGACTTAAGGTGAGTTGAGCAGATTTAAATATAAAAAATAGAGGTTGGCTCAATGTCCTATGAATTAGGTGACATGATAAACAAAGATCCACATTTAAACAAAATTATTTGTGTATTTTTTTAAGTGTCAGATGATGTAATGTGTATTTTCCCCTGGTTTAACGTCTTGCAGAAGGTTCTTTGGCCAGTTACCGTACTTGTTCCCCTCTTAGACTGCTGGTCTGATGGATCTAAATTGTGTGCTTTACCTTTCACTGGGATTGTTTGCATTACAAAAGTGAATAACCACCTGAGGAGCACATCTAACCTCATAATGTAGTCTGCAGCAGCTAAAAAGGTATTAATATGTATTATTGTTCAAATTTTAACATCTACAATCATTCATTATTTAGTAGGGGTTTAATTACTGACTCACCTAGTGGTGTGTTGACATGTTGTCAGCCTACTTAAGTACTGAATGTGGCCAAAATGTAACATGAGTTACATAGCCAAGAAATTGAGAAAATGGACATAACAGTTTCCTCAAAGAACTTTCACAGTCATATACGTGTGTACACACACAAATACAACTTCATTAAGATTAAAATATGTAGCCTAGAAAATTAAATATATACTACACCTTTCACAGTTATGGGCACTCATGTTGATCAAGAACATCTGCTTAGATTTAGATAACATTAATTGGTCATTAACCCTCTCCAGGCAGATGTTGCAGATTTGCAAGAGCTATGCTACTTAGCTAGTCTTTGCAAGTAATTTGAGCCTGAGAGGGTTAAAAGTTCTTAGATAGCCTGATTTTGTTACATAGGAATTGATTTGTGTGTCAGTTATTTTGGGACTAGAGATTTTACAGATATTAAACCCTGAAATTTATTTAATGTGGGATATTTTTCTCCATTTATTTAAGGAGCTTTGATTAGAGGATACATTTTTTAAATCATATTTCAGTGTGAGATTACCATGGAACAAGAAAAATGTTATTTATTTTTAGTCATTTCATACATTTTTACAGAAGTGCCAGTAAAGGTGATGGGTGCTGTATGTGCAATCATAAGTAATCAATTAGTCATTTGTCGGCTGTTCTTCTAGAATCAGATCGTTGCAGCAGAGAAATTTCATGACAGGTACTTGTAATGTAACAATAGCGTAATAGACAAAATATATTTATTCGCTGAAAAAAAATATTTATAGGATTGTGTAAGATCTAATTTTTTATTAATTGCTTTAGATTATATAAGGAAATTTAAGTGCTTTTCTCATTTCAAGAGATAAAAAACGAGTTCTTGGAGTTTTGCTTTCAATTAAGGAGTAGGCTACTTGAATTACTTGAGGGGAAATTTTAAATCAGTGACTGTACACTTTAGTACACTGTAAAAAAAAAAGGTCTCTAATTTATGGTAAAATATTTTCAGCTGTGGTAACCAGAATTTTACCACAGCTGAATATGACAGAGTCCATATTTATATGTTACATTACATTGATAATTTATTTTACTGTAAATTAGAGAGTTTTTTTTAAGGTGTAGCTTTAGAGTCACTATTCATACTATAAGCAGTAGAAGAATCAGCATCGCCGTTCTTTCCATCAAACTAACACAGTGCTAATGATCTGCATTGACATTAATAATAACAAACATATATCGAAGAGAAAGACTGTATGAAGTGTGCAATCACTATTGAAAAATATCTTATAGCAGATAGATGCAACTAATGAGGAAGTGCTAATACTCTATTAATCCTGGCAGTATAGCTTTCAGTGAAACATGCAACTAACGTTAGTGGTTTAATAGATAATTATGTCTGATATTACCTTATTGTTTTGCAAAGCAAGACACTAAAGCTTAAAATCAAAGAAAACAGATCTGTGAGGATTATTTTGTGTATAACTACCATAAAAGAATGTCAATTTAAAATTATACATACTGGATTTTTAATCATTACAGCACTTTTTATAATTTAAATAGTATTTTTTTCAAGGTGGAGTTTTAATTAGATTATATAAATTTGAATATAACAATCAAGAAAGGCTTAATGGGAGAGTTTATATTTGTTTGATGAGCTAAAAAGGTGTTGGCAGACTGTTGTCTATTGCAGGCCAAAGGTTATGGGGTCGGTTGTGGGAATTATGATAACCAATTTTATTTTTGTAGACTGCATCTGCTATCATTTAAAAAGTATATCATATTTCTAACATGACCTTCTAATAGGATCCAAAAAAAGAACATTTTCAATAGTCTTCAAGCTGAGAATGTAAGGCTATAAAATTATTTTTTTCTCAGATCAGTAATAATTTAATTGTTTCACAAGAATTCCAGCTGATGTCTTGTCATTATAACCTGTGTATTTCAGGCAAACAATGTTTCTTTTTTATGTGTCTCACAGAATTTAATTATCTCAACCAAAAAATCTGCACTGTTGTATGAAACCTAATCTAACTTTTTATTGAAGAAACGTTAATATAAATGTAGTGACAACAAACATACCCTGCTATTACAACCAAAAAATAAGACTTTATATTTCAACACAAAAAAAATTACATATAGTGATCTTAAACTTTGGCCTAATTACATCTGTTCCATTAGTTTTATTTTTGAAAGCACAAATGCACTTTGCACGGTTTTAAACATGTTGCAAAGTTTCTGGATAGCCAACAAATACTTAAATCAGTTTCTTGGACCAGTTACTGCTCACCAATGAAATCCAAATCTTCAATAAGAAATTAACAGCAGCTTTTGGAAACCATTATATTTCAAATATATTTAAATTACCATGAAGAGTAGAATGATTTATTGTAAGTCAAAATGTATTTTAAGCTTTATGTGTGGGGTCCTGATCCTGTCTGCGCTGTGACACTTTGTCTGCATTGTTTAGTCTCAACAGATTTATGAAATGTATATCCAATTCCGTATGATATGTGACGTGTGTATGTGACAATACAAAATATATTTTCTTTACTTTGTTATTGTGTGGATTGCTGTTGCTACTTGAACTCTATTCTCACCCTTCCAGACCATTTATTTATTTATTTATGTATTTTTGGGATAGAATTTACACTTAAAGAGGTGAACCTTGACAAAGTGTCTATAAAGAGATTAAGTATCTATGGAGAGATTTAAGATTTAAACCACTTGTATAATTTTAAAACATAACTTTGTAACTTTGCTGATATTTAATTTTGAATGGATGTCAGAAGGCTTGTTAAGTAGATTATTTTTTTTCACTGAAAATAGAGAATATAAGTCCATGATATTGGTGTATTTTTCTGTACTTGTGGATGGTGATGTTGTGTTTGCACTGAGGGAGGATTGTTGTGCACTCGTGTCCAGTTGAGATTAATGTTATACTCAGTGTTTGCTGTTGAGGTGCTGCTTCTGTCTTTGGATATTCACACACTGCTCCTTTTTCACCCTAACAAGGATTTCACTGCTAAATTCAAAATGCTTGTTGTTCCACATGTTGCTATTGCCCTTTGTGATGTCACAAATTCAGAAAATTCTAAGTAGGAAAATGGAGGAATATGTTTATAATAAGAGAATATGGACACGTTATTATTATTATTTTATTTTTAAAAATTTTAACCAATTTTTAAAAGCAAAGTTGTGTTAGTGTTTCAAACTTGGCAGCATATGACTCATGGATGGAGCCGTTTTTATTACAGTGGCTATTGATTGAATTGGCAATATTAAAATATAAACTTCTGCAATAACGAATTGGCTACTAATACAATAACTACATGTTTTATTTGCCAAGAGACAACACACCAAACTACTCACATGAAACTCATAACTTTTTAAGCAATGAATGCTCTTGCTTTTCTAACTTCCTGTACTATCACAGTAGTCACTACTGGGTCTGACTTTTCTTTTTTTCTCTTTAATCCTTTTATATATTTGTTGTTGTTTTTTCTCGTGAACTGAGGGGCGCTGGGCCCCACAGACACTAGCTTATCATTTGCATTTCATGTGTCATATTTGCCGTTCATTTTCTGCCTATCATTCAGTGAAGCTGCTGTTTTATTTACAGTGGTACCTGTGGAACCAACAGCCTCCGTTTTCCCACTTGTGCCTCCCAGATTGGTGCTTCTCATGTGCTAAGGTTGAAATTTAAGTATCAGACTTTCAAGTAAAGGAAAAAGTGGGGGAAATTATTCAGTTTGGTTAGTCAATACCAACCCTGAATTTGAAAGATTCATCATAGTCCAATACTAAGCCATACTGTTTAAGGTCCAAGTTATTAAAAGTAATTTACAACCATTTCCTAAAGTTTGTAAAACAATCTGTAATAGAAACTGATAAAAAAAAAAAAAAACATATATATTGTTGCCAACAATCCAATTTTATTGTGCAAATTCATGACTGTAGTTCTTGTATGTTCACTGTAGACTGGGACAGTTGTCTTAAAGTTTTATCTATTTTATCCATTACTCATTATTGTCTTTATCTTGTGTATAATTTCTGGTGAATATTTGCTACTGCTAATGAAATTTGCAAACCACTGCCATGGTATTTGTTGCAATAAAGTATTTGAAATGATTTAATAAAGAAATAAAAGAAAGGACCAAACTGCAGTTTGCTGATAATTATAGCAAGCAATTGGATGTACAAACTCAAATACTTTCACAGTGTACAGAGAAAAATATAAGCTTTCATTATTTTGTAAATCTGTATATTTTAAAGAACATTAATGCATCTGTTGCATTGTTCTATTTTGTTTTAGAGTGCACATTGTCTAGATTTCATACACTGGTCTTTATTTTGATTAAAAATGTTTCTATGTGGAGATTTGAGTCTATTTTTTAAAGGCCTGATTGATGGCTGCTGATGGTCATCATCTTATTTTCATCTTGTGTTTGTTCTTCACTGTGATGTGGCGCTGTAAGTGATTGGGTTTTTTTGTCAACATTTTGTAATTTCTCACCTCATCTTTGTTTAAATTACTTTTCATTGTGTTTTCTTGAGAAAACTCACATTTGCTTATGTTTTGAATCACTCTTGACGATGCAAAATATTTGTCCCCACATAAAAGGAGTTTGAGAACAGCAAGTTGCATTCATTTTGGGCTTTAGTGCTGATTGGAGAAATATTTGATGTGCAACAATCCCATGTGTGTTTTAGTGGCTACTGGATGATTACATGATGTGAAGCGTTTTGTCTTTTCTGTCTGAAACAGCATTGATGCACTCTTGACTGCTTCATTTGCCCTGTACATACCACAAATGTTGTTAAATAAAGTTGCCATCTTGTATTGAGGAATATTGTGAAATTATTTATATTTTTGATCCATGCGATTTTGGGGTTAATTTGTTAGCTTATGTGGAAAAAAAATATATAAACCATTAAGTGCTCTTTGCAAAAAATGTGGAATCACAGAGAGTTTCACAGAGTCAGCAGTCAGACTCACTTTAACATTGTGTGTGAGTTTGTGTGTATCTGTGTCTCATACAGTCTTTGATCGTTTGTTCTTCATTCAGGGCACTTACTCACAGTTGGTGGAATGTTCCAAAATTTTACTCAAGAAGAGTAGTGATATTAAATAATATCACTAAAGTAAAAGTTGTGTTACTCTTAGAAAAAAAAAGTTCTATATCCTTCTTCAGTTTCTCTCTATATTCAAAATAAAGTAATACAAATTCTAACACAATCAAAAACCTATGTTGTTATCCACAAGTAGGTTAAGAAATACAGGGGGGGAAATGCTATAATGACGTTGAAAAATACACAATTTTGCATATGTTCTAACTTGACCTTTAATTTATTTTTGTTGTCTTTACCCTAAGTAACAATCAAATGTTATAGTAAGTAATACAATTAAAATGCCGGATTGTTTTTTTCCCCTCATTTATTTATTTACATGCAATTATTATAAAGATCAAAGTTGATGCCAAAGTCGACCTGAGTCTAAGGTGATAATGTCCGTCATCCTGTCGCGCCGGAAAAGGCAGAGCATCGGGGAGAAGGAGGCGTTTCCATTTAAACAACGCTGCACAATCAGCTGCAAATTTATGCAGAGCAGTGAAATCTGTGCTGCTGCTCCTGCTGCTGCTGTTGTCCTGCAAAAGAAGAGCAAGGAGGAAAAAGAGGCAGCACCGCCGGGCACCGCGCACAGCAACCGCCCGGGAGGCCGCTGAGTCCGCAGCGGGGAGCAGGAGAGAGGAACCCGGAGCGGCGACGGTAAGCCGGACCGAGCTGCCCCGTTAACGAGCCAGACAGCAGCGGCGGCTAGCGGGATACTAGCTGGAGTAGCCTCCAGTGGATCTGGTATCAACTGGTCTGAAGCATGGAGGGCAGCTAGCAAGCGTTAGCTCTGTCTTTGCTTCCCAGCTGATTGCTGCAGCTAAAAGAGGCTTTATGGGGCTGTGGAGGCTGCAGACTGAGCTGGCTGCTGGGACTGAAAGATGTGCGGAAGGAATATTTAGAGATGTGGAAGAGTGATTACGATCATGCAATACGAAAATGGGTTGGGGACACCTGATTTAAATGGGTCCTACAGAACATCCAGCTCACCTGCGAGGTGATGAATAGTTAAAAGAAAAAAAAAATGTTTTTATTCAAAATTTATAGTCAGCAATTGAAAGCTTTGTTTTTGTAGTGCATCAGTGGAGCATCAGTGGAGCTTATGTTTTGAAACTGCACAATTCAACACAGCAACAGCAATGAAACTAAGTTGGTGTCATTTGTTACATCTGCTTCTGAGATGTTGAGAATAAATCAGAGATGCACCAAACAGATTTTTGCCAGCTGATATTATTTGTTCGTCTTTTAGGTCTGAACTCTCAGTTTTTTAAAATTCAGCTTTCCTTCCCTGTAAATAAGGTACATACAAACTCATTAGTGTAAACTTTGTAATTTTTACCATTTAAATGTTAAGCACTGACCATAGCAAAAAAAAAAAAAAAAAAAACTGCAGCAAAGACTCCTTAAAGGAGGTAATGAAACAAAAAATTAAGATATCACAAGATTCATTATATTTGGCTTGCTTTTGTTTTATAAATCAGCAAGTTGTGTTAGTTTTCAGCTTTGATGTATTTAATGTGCAGGAAAATAACAGATTTTCAGAATTTGACCTTTTGGTCACTGATAAGAGCTAATCAATGAGAAATTGGCTGATTTTGATCGCTGATCAGTGGATTTCTCAGAAATTGTGCCTATAAAAATCATCCTTGCAATGTCATAAAGGTCTGATTGAAATAAGATATGAGTTTCCTGCCAGGAATTCCTGTTTTGTATTCCAGTGATATGTTTAATCTGCTGGATCGAGTCTCATCATAGAAGTTGCCCCAACCGGACACAAATGACAGTAACCAGAGGTTAAAGGTCACGGAAAGAGTTGAAGCGTCATGACAAATGAACAGAAAACCAGTGAGGAAAATATTAACCAATCACAATTGACAACATCATTGCAATACTTTATATTATTTTTCCATTGTTTGATTTTCTAATATTCTCTGAAAATTAAATATTTGTTCTGAGGTGAGACAGGGTTTTTCTTTTTGGCTTAGTCTTATAGAAAGGAAATTCAGTTTTTTTTTTCTTCTTCTTCTTCTGTGTTTTACTTAAGGTTGTCTCAATAGTCTCCTGTGCTCATAAACAGCCATGGAGGCGGATGGAGAGCAGAACCAGCAGGGAGCCTCGACCAATGGGAGTGCAGCATCTGGGGCAAGCTCCCGCCCCTCACCAATGAATTCCATGTCTGCGTATGAAAGGCAGGCGGTTCAGGTAGGCCTCAGTTTGTGTGAGTATTAAACCATCGGCTTACCTCAATAGCTGTTTTTGTTGCAGCACTTTAAGGCCACAAAGTCGACTTGAAAGAGGTAATGTTGCCACAAACATTTAGAAACTGACATGCCAAACCCAAGTTCAGTCATGAAGCTAAACTGAAGAACTGAATTCTGACTGTTCTAAAGGTTCTGTCTGTTTATAGTTTATATTTAATGGTGAAAGATTTTTGCTTTCTCATTGTCAGAATTGTGAGTGAAGCAGTTGGCAGGTTACAATCACTTCTGTTGCTGTGGAAAAGAGGAGAAATTTGTCTTCTTATAGTGTCCCACTTTTTTTTTATGCATGTAAAGTTTCATGCATAAACTTTACATGCATGGTCAAATTTTAAGGATTACAAGTTTTAAATTACATTATCTTGACTCTAGAAATCTGTGAGATATAATATGTAGTAAACTTAAAATAATTTAAAGTGACTGACTTTTTGTTGTTGTTTTTGTTTTTTTCTGGTTGCTAAAATACTTCTTATTCACTATTAATATGCAGATTAAGTAAGTACAAAATCAGATTCGGTGGGTTTTTTCCAGATCTACATACTTATGGGGAAAAAAAGACAAGTATACATTTGTTATGCAATTCCAGACTTTATCCTATTTTTGGTAATTTTTTTATTGTTTTGCTTATTTTTAACCATTTTTATTTCTTTAAAAATGTCCCTTTCTTGCTTTTTTTTTTTTGTTTTTTCCTTTGGCCATTCCTTCCTTTCTTCTTTAAATTTTTTTTCTTTCTCCTTTCTTCTCTTCCTGACATATTTCCAGTCTTACTTTGCTGTTTCTTCCTCCCTTCTTTCTTTTCTTCCTTTTATCTTCCTTTCGGGCCTGATTTCATTATGTGTTTTTGCTGCCTCTTTTTAAAAGCTTTTTAAAGAACTTTAATATTTATGCTTATAAAATTAGCCATAAATATACAGAAAAGTGAGTCTGGAAAAGTATAAAATGTGAAATTAAAATTGTGGAGGAACTCTGGGTATTTAACTATAAAAGAAGGATCATGAATGTTCTTTGAAAAATAAAAAAGGTTATTGTATGCATTTGTTTTCCCAAATTGTGCCTTTGGGTAGTAATCTTTCTAATTCATGTCTTACACTGATAAATACGGAGAGAATCGGGTAGGTAAGGACAGAGAGTGAGACTTGGAGGAGGCTGGGTGTTATTTTCGCAGGCCTTTGCCACCCTCCACCGCCATCTGTCTTTGTCACCCTGCACATACTAATCCAAGCCACCGCGCTCGCATTCATCCTCTCAACTTATTACTGTATGAAGCTCAGCTCATATATCACTAAGCTGCAGCAGCATCTCTCCCTCCTGTTCTTGTTGATCTCACTTTGTAGTTTTCTTCTCTCATCTAAAATTTTTCTTCCTTTCCTTATATAGCCTTGTTTTAGATTCATTTCCTTTTAACAGACCTCCACCTAAATTATTTCAGTTACTTTTTGTCTTTTCTCCATTACATCTGCTGCTCTCTGTTCTCCACCTGAAACTGCTTGTGATAATTCTCAATTTGAATATTTTTGTCATTACCTCTAGGCCCTGCAGGCATTGCAGAGGCAGCCTAATGCAGCTCAGTACTTTCAGCAATTGATGCTGCAGCAGCAAATCAACAGTGCCCAGTTGCAGAATCTGGCTGCTGTGCAGCAAGTCAAGGTAAATATGATGAAGCTCTTTACAAAATCCACTCTGTTTATTGCTAAGATTTGTTTTAAATTGATCAAATAATGCATGTCTAAAGAATGGATCACAAAATATGCCAGGGCACAGTAATAAAATTAAGGGACAGAAGTTTAAAATGCAGGCTGTGTCCTGGACATCTGTTGTGTTATATTGGTAGACATACGACCAGAAATACTGAGCCACGTCCGCCATCAACCACACGACAGCCTCTGTAACCACGTTTGTTTGGATTCAAGCGAAGCCTCAAACATTTCCTCTTCTTCTGTTTTTCTTCTTTTTGTCTGGTCTCTCACAGGCAACTCTGGCTGCTAGTCGTCAGTCAAGTCCGTCCAGCAGCTCTTCTCAGACCACCAGCACTACAGTAGTACGCTTTGTTTTTTGTTGCTAGCTTAAAGCAAAAAAAAAAGGTATAATTTTAAAAAACTTTTTAATTACAAAACCTAATTTTAATGGACATTAATTAGCTAAAGATATAGTGAATTCAACTTTTATGGGCTGATTCAAAGTCCTGTTTTTTGTCTTTGATAGTTCCCTGGAAACTGTACTAGGTTAAAACTTTCTCTTCAGAAAGAGGTGTGAACTTATTTGATAAAACTGTTTTATGGAAAAACATAAAAACCTCACAGGAGATCATAAGTAGATGATGGGAAACACTTCCAGTCATCTGTTGTCAAAACAGGCAAACTGGACGCAAGCTTGATTAAAAATGTCTGCACTTTCTTCTTAGTTGACAAAAGTCAGATGCAAAACAAACACAGCTGCATTCAAATAAATAGATGCAAACTGGTAAATAAAACATTAATCCAG